TCGGAGGTGGTCCTGGAGGTGGAGGCACATCAAAAATGTCACTCGACTGTGCCCCATTGACGCCTGCAGCTTCTGTTCCATCCTTTGTGTGTATGCCGTTGGTAGCTTCATGGGATCGGCTTCGATCGTTAATGGATTCGTCATGGGTGGATGCTGTAGGGGTATCAGGAGTTTCGGCTAGAGAGGCTAGACGGCCCGACTCATGTAGGTTGGTCGATGATGTCCGAGGAGAAACACCCCGTCCGTGGCTGCTCCCAAGGCGACCAAATGTAATACCGCCAGCTTTGCCAGGCGAAAGGCTCCCGAAACCACCGTGAACACTCTGTCGTCGTCGACCACCGAACAAGGTACCCAGTCTACGAAGCTTCGATTCTTCACTAGGTCAGTACATGGAGGGGCAAACAGTTAATATACTAGATGTCAAGTACCTTTGGGCTGGTCTGTGGGGAGCTGCTCGTTGGATTCATCATCGTGATGCGATTGCTGTGAAACAGACCCCCTAGTTGGAGGAGGAATAGTCGCCGAGGCTGTGGAGTTCATTGTGTCCGAATGTGGCATGGGAGGCTGTTCTAGGGAAGGCTGTCGTCCAGGTATTGAGGCACGACGGGTAGATATCCTCGTTGCAGCAAGCGGCTTGCCGGCGACTGTACTTGCCACAAAATCTTTGATTTCCTTCTCTGTATTAATCTCCAACACAACGGCGAGTGTCTGGGCGGCAATTTCTTGAACTCGCTGAGCTTGGTCTGTCTCATGGGTTTGGTACTGGGTCAGCACATCCCGTAGATGGTTGACGCGGGTTTCGTCGACGGCTTGCAGAGACTCAAATATAAAGGGCGCTTGTGATTCCCATTGCTGCGCAGCCGATTCTAGCTTGGCCGAAGCCTCATCAACCTTTTGGCTGCTGGCCTTGGCGCCCTTCCTATTTAGCTTATCCGACTTGTCTTGGGCACCTTCGAGATCTCTCGCCATTGCCGTCAAGTTGCTGGATATGTTATGCATGTTTTGGTAGTCTCGCCGCTGCTGATACAAGCGCAAGGGGCGCTCGACATCGCTCTCGAGCCTTTCGGAAAAGAGGTGGTGTGACTGGGCAATGCGCTCGATGGCATCAACAATTCGAGTCCAGGGGACCTGGAAGACACTGAAGAGGACCAGGTTAGTGGTGAAGCAAGTTTTGGGAGGTGTCGCAACACAGCTAAGTGATAGGACAGGGTCGGCTATTATAGCCAACGAGCAAAGCTGATGACGTACCCGAGTTCGGATTGTGAATTCGGGGTTCTGCTCTGTGCAAGCCTTCGCAGACCTTGGACATATTGCTCTTCAATGCGACGGCGTTCCTACTTGGCGGGTAACGGGAGGGAAACGTTAGCCAGGCAAGGCATCGTCAATGGCGCATACCGGAGACGGCAGCCCCAGGCTAGTCGAACTGAGCCGTTGGATTTGGGCGTTGGGTGTGGATGCGTACCTGAAGCCAGTCGGCAATTTCGAGATTGACCTTGTTGATGCGCTTCACCCGATCGTTGAGCGTCTGAACCGCCTGGCCAGGCTGCAAATTGGCCTATTGGAACCGAGAAAAACAATCAGAGCAGTCAGCATTTCGGGAGAGATTCAAATGTCCAGTAGCCAGAGGGGACAGTCGCAGGCCGGCCAAGGCAAGCCGTCTTTTCGTGGGCAGAGCTGCACTTACCAGCATGGCGGGATAGTCGGACCTCGCCATGTCCTCCATGGTGGGCGGCGGCTTAATCGATGCTGATGAAACAATTGAGGGCGGCGATTAAATACAGATGCTAACAATAAGACTGCAGCGATTAGGGGAGCGGGTGCATGGCGACACCTGGAGGAGGAGGGAGTGGCTCGTCAGCAATTACCAAGTGACGAGGCGATGAGGAGATCAAGTTGGTGGTGACATGGACATGGACGCGGCGGCCATGGAGCAGATTGAATGGAGAACGGAGACTGGGGAAGGTCTGACCAAACAGGAAGTCGGTCGACGCGGCTGGAGCTCTTGAACGAGGCTTGATTGCTCGAGTACATGTACCTCGACCAGAAGGCTACTTGACTCGATGCATGACGACAGGGGCCAAGGCCAGTCCATGTCATTCATCAATCAATCAAACCACATTTATGCCGTCAATCAGGCTGCAAGTCCAGTCAGGCTTCTGTAGTAGCTTCCAAAGTTGGGCCGTGGGAGCGCCAGGGAGTGCAGATGGCGCTTGATGGACCGGGTGCTTCCAAGACAAGAAAGACATTTGATCATCTTCTGGCTTCTTTCTTCTTCTTTCCCCTTGGACCCCAGATTTTGTGCTCCCGGCTGCCATAAGTCTCGTGGTTCTTGTTGTCTCTCGTGCTCCTCCTCGGTGCTGCCTTTGGCTGGCCCTTGGTTGGCTCCTGGCCCTCCACCCGCCGCCCCACTTTCCGTCAGCTGCATCAAAAACTGAGACCTGCGCCGTCGTCCTCACCACGGAATAGACAGCAAACGGGTTGAGTAACAATGCTCGGTGCAGTAGCTGAAGGGTTCGATTCCGGTTGGCAAGCGACTTTATTCCGTACGTTGCTATTTGATTCTAGGGTGGCCGGGTACCCGAGAAAGCTCTGGTTGAAGCTGAGCTTGGAGCTTGATGAGCTTCATTCAACTTACTCTTTACTCAAGACCCAAAATACCCCATAGCTCTGAGATAATGTCGCCCTGCATTTTGATGTAATTGCTTTAAATTATGTAGCAGCATCCCTTTTTTTCCTTCCCTCCCCGCCAGACAAATTGTACTCGAGCAGCAGCCCTGCCGCCTCATGCAGAATTGCATGCTTCGTGCTCACGAGGTGGTATTTTGACGTCAAGGCCCCACACTTCTAATTCCCCGACATCCATGATCCGAGTGACAAGTTATCCTCCAACGTCCATCTCACTTGCTCCACCATGTCGGACTGGAAATCTTCACTTTCCTCTCTTGACAGATACGAAGTAATACAAAGTCTGTAAGTACAGCCAATATCTTTTTTTTTAGCCAGCCGCTCACTCCCCCCTCCCTGTTTAGCCAAGAGACTTTATCGCCTGATAAACGCAGCGACGCTATATCCATTGAGCAAGATGCCTATCAGCACTCATCTACAAGGGTACTAGTTTAACCGTGCTTCAATCTCATATGATCGTGGCTGACGATATCAGGATGAATATGATGCAGCGGTTAGGGCGGTTTCTCGCAAGACAAAGGACAGTCCGCCATCACCCTCAGATACAGGCTTTCGTATTGGCAAATATAATAACTGCACCCTCATCGCAGACGGAGTCACGTCTGAAGTCTATCGCTCCAACAACCGCGCCCTAAAAGTAATTATCCAGCACAATATTGAACCACATAACCCCCAAAGAGAAGCGTCGATTCTTCAAGAATTGCATTCTCTAACCCCAGTACCTGAAAAGATCATCACCCTCACAGAGACGTTCCGAGATCAAGAACAACGCCTTGTTCTTGTCTTCCCATACCTTCCCATGACTCTGGGCGATCTCATCTCTTCCAAGTCGATATCACTCAGTCACGCGAGATCCATATTCAGAGACGTTCTCACTGGGCTGGCATTCATGCACAAACACGCCATTATTCATCGAGACATCAAACCTTCGGCCATACTGTTACAGTCCCCCTCTGGACCATCGTACATATCCGATTTTGGGACTGCCTGGCACCCCCGATTATCTAGCTATACCGAACCGCAAAATGACAAGATCCTCGACATTGGCACAGGAGCGTATCGCGCCCCAGAAGTATTATTCGGGAATAAGGGCTACGGCACATCGGTCGACATGTGGGCATTGGGCGTCATGCTCGCAGAGGTTATTTCGTCGCCGCCGGTACCGCCGTTTGAATCGCGTCCCGCGCACGAAGACGGCAATCAGCTCGGTCTGATACTGAGTATTTTCAAGACCATGGGCACCCCGACGCCGGACACTTGGCCGGAAGCAAAGGGGTTCAAGGTCACTCCGTTTGAGCTTTGGACCGTATTTCCACAACGTGATTGGGCCGACATTTTGCCTGAAGTGGATGAGAAGTTCAGAAACCTTGTGAGCAGGTTGGTGTGTTTTGAGTCTGGCAGGAGAGATACCGCCGAGGAGGTATGTCGAATGCTCCCTGCGTTGATGGAGACAGTGTGCCTCTTCTTTCTTTTTCTTCCTCTTCTTGTGAGCTGACCCTTAACTAGGCTCTGAAGCATGTGTGTTTTACGACAAGATAATGTCTTGATGTGTAACATCTGCATGTACAAGCGCAGTCGCGTGGTAGGGCTGGTTTATTTTGGCCAGTTGACACTTTGATAGAAGATATGCGGTACACGCTGCCACGAACAAGTAGCTGCCGGTCTCGCCAAGAAGAAAGAAGGAGTTAAATAACATGGAAATTAAGTAAAATGGAGGGGAGTCAGTCTTGGTAGTTGTGCGACAGTCAGCATTCTCCCATGGTGACGTGACTGATACGGAATGCGGAACAAGATATGCTGTATTTACATATTCTCTGGCAGTGGTTCCCAGAATCGAGACCTGCTTCATCTAGCATTCCTATTCTTCCAAGCATAAGTTCTTGCACCACTACCACTGGAAACACTATAAGAATGATAAGCCATTGATGCTTGAAGCCTTGAGATGATTGCTGGTCGATTTTCACATGGAGGCCCATAATAATTTTTTCTCTCCCTTGGCTGTGTCCTTCTCGGTATGACTCTGCATGTGTGATGACACTGATCAGCCTTCTGGAATCCACCCGCCGTGACATCATTTGCTGGGCCACACCCCGAGTCCCAGCACTTTAGCTGGGAACGTTGAAACCAGGCTGGACCTCGATCTCAATCTCAAGCCCACTGCGAGCCACTTGCTGATGACCAAAGGCGATGCCTCTCCAAGCTATACCTCGAGCTCCTACAACATCTACTGTCGCATCCGACAATCTCCATGTTTCCGCAATCCGCATCCGCATCGCCACAAAATCTCCATCTCTAGCCCGTGAATTTCTCTCGTCATGAAGCGCGGACCGCGGGGCTTTGGTTCGTCGACTGGCGGGGGTGGCTTTGGCTTCGGGGGCCCTGTGTCTTGGACATCTCTGTCATATCTTGCGGAACCTCCATCCTTTGCCGCCGTGTCGGACCCCAATGTCATCGTGTCGCTGAAGAATGTCCTCAAGAAGGATAGCATTACGAAAGCCAAAGGCCTAGAAGATCTTGTCCAACATGCGCAATCGCATCCGTTTGAGCAGGATGGTGGGGTTGAAGAAGCCCTGCTAGACATATGGGTATGTCCGAATCCTTTGAGAGCCCAATGACGCCAATTCTGTCGGAGAGAAAGAATTCGCCATCCTAACAATCATGCCGCAGAGACAAATATATGCTCGCACTTCTGTAGACAACTCCAGGCGCGTACGGGAGCTGTCCCATATCCTGCAGTCAGAACTTTTACGTTCGGCCCGCAAGCGCATGGAACGCCATGTGCCGAAGATTGTTGGCCCATGGCTTGCAGGACTCTATGACCGCGATCGAGTTGTGGCAAGGGCTGCTAGCGACGGACTTGCATCATTTCTTACCACACCCGAGAAAATGAAGGCGTTCTGGGTTAAATGCCAGTCGCAGATTTTAGAATTCGCTATCGAAGCTATTCGGGAAACCCAAGATACCCTCAGCGACGAGCGGTCCACGACTGTCGAGGATGCCGAGGCCAAATACTTTAGGGTTGTGACGTCAAGTTTGTCCTTGGTCTTGGGCTTGCTTCAAAAGGTTGACGATACAGGCGTGCAAAAGTTTGCAGAAAAATACGACGAGTACTTCAGCGAAGAAGCCGTTTGGAAGAGCATTACTTTCAAAGACTCGGCAGTTAGAAGGACTGTCTGTCAGTTGCTGTTTGCGTGCCTGGATCGTCAGCTTCCGTACGGCGCGACTACCAAGGCGAAACAGGCTTTTGTCACCGGAGGGCTAAAAACTAGCCAAGCAGGGTCAGCGCTCGAATATGTCAGGGCTTTGACAAAACTGACGCAGAAATATCCCGCTTTTTGGGTGTCAGGCCCGGTGGACAAGAAGTCACCCATTACACGCCTGCAATCCTTCATTTCTAAAGGTTCACAAGGTAGCCCGCCAAATTTCTGGGAAGTTCTTGACCAACTTATTGCCATTATTCCAGTGGATGCCCTTGGACTCGAGACTGCATCCAAATTGTTGGCGTCGGTAAAGGCAGGAATCACAAACCGAGAGGAGCCTCGAACAAACACGTCGTACTCATGGAAGTGTTTCGCCGACATTGCCAAGCGATCAATTGAACAACTGCCTGACGAGGATAAACTGTCATTTGCGCAAGAGCACCTGTTCCCCCTTTTCGAACAATTCCTATTGTCGACTTCGGAAACCAACACAATACCAACTGGGCCAAATGCCATGTCCATATTTGTCGAACTTCACCTGGCAGTGATTCAGTCATCGCCTAATCTCATTGATGCCTCAGCTCAAGAATGGGAACGGCTAGGGACCATCTTATGCACCAACATCTCAGGTTCCCTACCAGAAGTGTCCAAAGACTACAAGACTTCCCAAATAAAAATCGGAGAACAGGGGCGGCGGTGGTTCGGTCTTGTTGGTGAGATATTTGCCAAATTGAAAGACTCTAGGCCAACTCTGCCTGACCAGACTACTGGTCCTTCCAACCGAGTGATTACGCAGTGCACTACGTTGCTAGAGAGCCGCAATATGAAACCCTTCGGTGCAGCACAAATCATAGAGTACGCGCTGAGCACATCACAGCATTTGTTTTCCGGTGACAGTGGGCGGAACTTGGCCTCCTTTTTCCTTGCAGTGGCAGAGGATGGATTGGGCATGTTAGTCGAAACCGCCTCAGCAAGATATTTGTTGTCTGCCCTTGGTATATTTGGTCTAATAGAAGGTCAAACACAGACGTATGAGAAAATCTGGCGAGCGTGGGTCGCTGAGATACTGAGGCTCAACATTAGCCAGAGAGTACGGAATGCCGCCCTTACAGGCCTGATCTCTCAAGAACAGGCCTCTTCCTTGGCCGCAGAAGACATGGCTCTGCAGGATATGTTCTACAATCAGGCTCTGGAAGCCTTGAATGGGGAATCTGATGCGTTGGATTTGCTTGATGCGGCTTGTGTACATCAAGCGCTTAGTGACCATACGGGTCGAAAGCTGGTATCGGAACTGGTGAACCGGTTGTCAAAGCAGACATCCCAGCTGGAACTGATCCTTCGGATGCTTGAAACAATTGCCAAATCCAAGGCACAACTGTTTTCCGAAGAGCCGATTCACACTGAACTCGTTGCTCAGCTCCTTTCATTATCAGAGATCAACGACTTGAATGTATCTCCAAAAGTCGCCGCAATTCGTTCTATTTTGGACGGCCAAGCCCAAGGCAAATTGCGCGTCGTGGATATCATCCAGTCCAGCCTCGAAAAAGCCGGACCTCAATCTCTCGGGTAAATTACTGGTCCCAACTATTGTCCCTGTCTTTGGGAAATGCTGACAATTCCTATAGTATCCGCACCCTAGTGTCACAGGCAAAGACCGCAGTGGAAAGTAATGCGACTTCCTGGGAAAGTATATTACCCAGCACCAATACTTGGATGGGTCACTTCGCATCATTACTAGATGCGCCCATTAACCCGTCCTTGTCAATAACAAGCAGTATTGGCGGAATGGTTTGTTTGCCCCAGTCAGGGAGTACTAAAAACGCGGCTCTGCGTTTGCCTCGCGACCGCGATGGCCGATCTATTCCCGCAAGAATGGCCCTGTACACTTGTGAACTGCTCAAGAACGACTTGGAGAATCTTCAACTTCCACGAGAGTTCCAAGTTGAGCTTCTGTATCTCCTAGGTCTTTCAACCCAGATAGCTTCCGACCAAATCACGACAATGAGCCGCAATGGCTTGTGGCTGTCACTTGATTCGACAGACACGCTTTCTGAAGCTGAGGGGATGATCTCATCGTCACGGCATTTAATCCACGGCATTATCTCCAAGGCAAATGATTGGCAATTAGCTGCTGGCCTCGACAGCAGTCCGTCCTCCATCGTCCGAGGGCTCATGGACCTCGCAATGAAAGAATCCAGAGAGTTTTCCTCTCGGGGTGTCTACAGCGCGAGGCTGTTGAGCGAGCTCGTCCAAGCACTCACTGAAATTCATGGGATGCCGAGCTCAGTGGAGGAGCAATTCTTGAAATTGGACAAACTGAAAGCAAAGCCTGACAGTGCTCTGCTTGCCGCAGGTCTAATCAGTGGTCTTGGAGAAGCGGCACAGTCCTCCAAGGCAGTAAGCAACTTTTGTAACAGGCTAGTGAGCGACGTCGCAGGAAATACGCCGGGCCACGAAAAGACGGAGCTGACCTTGGCGCTTTTGGCAATTACCGCTCAAATTTACGAAAATGGGGAGCTTCCCGTGGCTAATAACCGAATCGTGTTTGCGGTCAGACAGGTGGCTTCGTGGTTAGACGATCCCACTGAACTTGGCGCGGGTCTAAGTGCTTCCATCTGCCGTGCTCTCAACGCACTTTTGCCATGCATGAAGGACGTTTACGGATCTTATTGGGAGACAACATTGCAATTCTGTACAAGCCTTTGGGGTCGAGCCACAGATGCTAATCTTGACGATGTTCTCCCGGCCATTCACGCCTCCCTCAAGTTGATCAAGACTCTAGAAAGCATAGCGGAGCCAAATGACGACCTTGAAGACGCGCTGCGAGAGTTCGCCCCTGCAAAGTCCACGGGATTGGTTGGGCTGCTCAGGATAGGCCCGGGGGCTAAGTCGCAGCCACTCGAGATTGTCAATGGAATCATTTGCCGTGAAACGGAAAAGATTCCCGTCAGCAGAATACCTGAACCCGAAGCGCTTTTCAGTTTGGTTGCCTCCGAATCGAGAGATATCCAAACAGCCTCGTTTAACCTCCTTCATCGAAAGATTCCCGCTGATCAAGAGCAAAAGTCTATTGAAGTGCTCCTGGACAAGACTGGTATGTATCGCACGTACAGTTACATACACGAATATGGAAGAAAAGGAGAGAAATCGTGATGGCAACTAACACTGTGACAGACGCCCGGTTACCCGATGAACTTCTCTCCCTTTTCCTCGATCCACCAACCTTGGAGAAGTTTTCAGACGAGGAGCTCTCACTGTTCCCGTCTTCAATACGTGGCTACTTGCTATCGTGGAAACTAGTGTTTGACGCGTACTCATCGTCGTCATTCAAGATTCGAAATGACTTTACTGAACATTTGAAGGCAGAGGACTTGATTGGCCCCCTGCTGGACTTTATGTTTGATGTTTTGGGCCACTCAGCTGCTCATCCACTTAACCTCGACAAAGAAAATATTGGTCCTGCGCAGATTTGTGACTATGACATTAAATTAGCAGAGGCGGAGAGCGGGGAGCAGAGCTTACACTGGCTACTCATCCATCTGTACTACCTCACTCTCAAGTTCATCCCTGGTCTGTTCAGAATGTGGTACATCAGCTGTCGCTCGAAACAAACCCGAATCGCCGTAGAGTCGTGGACCACGAAGTACTTGTCCCCGATTATCATCGGCGAGACCCTGGACGGGGTGCAGCTTTGGGCGGACCAACAAGAACCACCGGGGATTGACGAGCAGGAACTCCTAGTCAAGGTGTCAAAGCCGGCCAAGGAGGTCACGGCGGGATACGAAGTGGACGAGTCGCAGGCAGCCATTGTCATCAAGATCCCAGCCAGTTACCCCATCGAGAGCGTGACTGTCTCGAGCCTTACCCGCGTGGCAGTCAACGAGCGCAAGTGGCAAAGCTGGATCATGACCACCCAGGGCGTCATTACATTCTCCAACGGCAGCATCATAGATGGCCTCCAGGTGTTCAAGCGCAACATTGTCGGCGCGCTCAAGGGCCAGAGCGAATGCGCAATCTGCTACAGCATCATCTCCACGGATAAGCGTATGCCCGATAAGAAGTGCAGTACGTGCAAGAACTTGTTCCACAGGACCTGCCTGTACAAGTGGTTCCAGACGAGTAGCCAGAATACCTGCCCACTGTGCAGAAACCCGATTGATTACTTGGGGGCGGATACGGCCAAGCGGAGGCAGGGTTAGCGCTTGTATCGTAGCTAAATGATGCAGAGTTGATGACGTTGTAGACAGAAAAACTGGTGTAAGATGATGCATATTTTCAGCGTGGGTTGTGAAACAGTCGCTTGTGGTTGTTGGGCAAAGTGCTCATGCTGTCTGAGAGCAGTCTTTTTGTTGTCAGAGCCTCAACAGTCCTGGGTTAGGCGATTCACCAGTTGGCGGCTACGCCGGGTTTATCAAGTGGTAGAACTACAGTCAGAGGCAATAAGTATTTGACCAGATCTTGCACTTTGCTATCACGCTTGGTCATGGCAAAACCGAACAGCACGAGTCACCGCAGCGGCTACCCAGTGTGTAACGCATCGCCGCTTGTATATAAAACAAATGCCCACTTTAGATATGTTCGCGACCAGTTAGTCGGGGGTGAACCTGAGAGGACTGTAAGATAATTTGGGAATCAATTCTCAAACTAGGGACCGACACATCGTAATCATCCTACCGCACAACGACGACAATAATCCCGCCCGGGGGAGGAGGTTAACGGACTTTCCTGAGGTCACTGAAGTAAACTTGGACATGCTGGCTGTTGACTCCATTTGAACTAGCAGAGCACTGCGTACGGGGTTGTCCCCCGACTGTAACTTTCAACGATCGTCGCCCCTTGGGAGTTACAGTCCCTTGCGACCCCTTAGCTTGGCCACCTTTTAGGAATTCATGCAGACGTGGACTTGTCAGATACAAGGCCGGACCATTCCAACCCGCTCTGGGAATGTAATCTTGCCAAAGATGGCATTCTCTATTTCGGACAGTATAGTTGGCAACTAGCTTACTTTGAGCCGCCTACGTCAAAGGAACATTCGACTAAACGATACGCGGAAAATCATCGCCGCTGACTTCGCTTGAATTACCTACTAGGCGACTCGCTTTGGCAAGCGCTCGAAATCTAAAAGGCGTCCTTGTCGGCTGGTTGGCTGATTGTGCGTTGAATAAAACACAGAAATAGATGTACCGTGCATGGAACAACAGAAGTATAATCTTGCCACAGACAGGAATTATTACAGACAAGTCACGGCACGTCTCTCCAATCCGTCATAAGTGTAGCAAAACGCATAAGATTCATCGTACTCGGCAACTATAATTAAAGACTTAAGCTAAAACTACATAGTCAAAGGGAGTTATTTCTTATCCTTCTTCCCGGTCAAAGCACTCGTCACACTACCCAAGCCAAGACCTTCAAGCACCCTGTTAAGACCAAGCGTACCAAGCAAATTATCAACCAATCCACCAAGTCCCAAACCGCCCAACTAAAAAAATGGAGTTAGCCAGCTGCCGCTTCAGTACACGGCCAGATAAAAAAGCAAAAGCACTTACCAGACGGCCAACAAGGCTTAGAACGCCATTGAGGAGAAGACCAACTGCCGCGATAATCTGGAACAGCGGCTCCGAGAGAAGGCCCCAAAGAGGGTTCAACTCCTTCTTGGCGTGAGGCATACCTTCAATCTTGCGCTTCGCATTGTCAATGGTTTGGGTAACGTCACCGGTGAGCTGAGAAAAAAACACGTATTAGTATCACATGCGCCGGACTGTATATATACTCCTGCGAGAAACATGGGACTCACCTCTTTGAGAAACTCGGCAAGATGATGCTCCTCGGGAGTCGCTTCCTTTGTCGAAGCCTTGTGTTTGGCTTGCCTCTGGATACGGCCGTCGGGATCCAGACCCCGGATGGCGCCGTTGGTTTCGGTAAGGATTTTGCTCCCTTCTTCGATGAGGGGCCTCACCTCTCTGACGAGCTGTTCCTCGTCAAGCTCCTCCTTTGGCGTGCGCTCCGCCCTGTCGACCTTGTCGGTAATCATCCTGAGGATGGGCCTGATCTTTTCGAGAGACTGCTCAATGGAGGCGGCGATCAGGCCGGCGAGCTTCCTGTCCTTTTCGGCCTGCTCTCGCTTCTCCCTGTCCTCAGCAGACTCCTCAGGCTCGGGCGGGATGTCCTCGAGGAGACTGACGTGACCAATGGTCATGCCCTTGGAATTGACAACGTCCCCGTCATCGTCAATCTCCTTTCCGGAGCAAATGTTGAGGTCGCCGCTGGTCAGCTTGCCAATGATGTTGCCGTCCTCGTCGACGACGTTGCCCTCGCGGTTGACTCTGCGTCCGGCCAGGGGATCCTTCTTCTTCTCGGGTTCTTCCCACCGCTCCGCCTTGCCCAGGACGTTGCCGTTCTTGTCGACGACATCGCCGTCTTCGTCCACGGGCCGGCCGTACAGGACCTTGCCGTCGCCGCTGGTGAGCCGGCCCACCACCTCGCCGGACGGCGTGACCACCGTTCCGTCCCTGGCGACGGTGCAGCCGGAGAGTTCTGCGAATGGTCCCTCGCGGGATCCCTCGCGCTCCGACTCGGGGACCAGCTCGGCGCGCCCTATCTTGTCGCCCGACTCGCTCATGATGTTGCCCTCTTTGTCGCACATGCGGCCCACAAGAGCCTTGACATTGCCCTCGACGACGCGGCCAAAGATTTGGCCATGAGCGTCTACAACGTTGCCGGCTTTGTTGACTCTCTTTCCGGCCAGGGACGACATGTCGATGACCTCGGGGGGTACTTCCTCTGGTTCGTCCCAGGGTTTGGCCCTGCCGATGACGTTGCCGCGACGGTCGAGAATGTCGCCGTCCTCGTCGACGCGGCTGCCCTTCATGCGCTTGGGGTCTCCTTCAATCACTTCGCCAACCTGCCGGCCCTCGGACATGACGCGTCCGTCGCCTTCAACAACGGCGTCTGGGAAGTTCTCGAACGGCGCGAATTCTTTGGCTGCTTCATCTCGGTCGGCGTCGGCGATGGGCTCCGCCTTGCCGATGACCTTGCCGGAGTCGTTCCAGATTTGCCCTTCTTCATCGGCAGCCCTGCCAATCAACTGTTTGGGGTCGCCGTCAACGAGTCTTCCGATAATGTCCCCCTTGTCATTGACCAAGTTGCCGACTTTGTTGACCTTGGTGCCTTTGAGTACCGTAAAGTCCAATGGTTTTTCGGCTGTCTCTCCGGCTTCCTCTGCGCCTTCTTCGACCTTGTCAGTGACCTCATCCTTGCCCTCGCCGAGAGTTTCTTTGCTAGTCTCGGTTTCGGCTAACTCGTTCTCGCCCAGTTGACCCTCTTCAACCTTGCCCTCGTCGAGGGCTTCTTTGCTAGGCTCGGTTTCGTCCAACTTGTCTTCACCTAATTTGTCCTCGCCTAGTTGACCCTCTTCAACCTTACCAGCGGCTTCATCTTGGGCCTCACCGACGGTGTCTTCACCCAGCTTATCCTCGCTAAGTTGACCTTTGTCCTCGGCGATGGTTTCTTCGCCAGGCTTAGTTTCTTCTTCTAACTTGTCTTCACCTAGTTTGTCTTTGCCGAGTTGGCCTTCTTCAGCCTTGCCAGTGACCTCATCCTTCCCCTCACCCAGAGTGTCTTCGCCAGGCTTGGTTTCTTCTCCTAACTTTTCCTCACTCAGTGCATCCCCGCCGAGTCGACCTTGTTCACCTTGTTCACCCTTGCTGGCGACCTCATCCTTGGCCTCACCTAGAGTGTCTTCACCAGGCTTGGTTTCTTCCAACTTCTCTTGATCCAAGTTGTCGTCCCCGCCAAGCTGGCCCTCTCCACGCTTAAGTTCAGCTGCTTTGTCTTGATCAAGCTTGTCACCGCCCGCGACACCCTCGACTTCCTCGGGGGCCTTTTGTCCTTCCGGAGCAGCTTCTTCAACTGTCTCCTTTGAAGACTCAGGAATACCCCCTGTGTCTTGCTCAGAAATAGGTCTCGGGCTCTGGACGGCCAAGGAGCCACCTTGTTCTCCGGCCTCCTTTCCAGTCTCACCCAGAGCAGGCTCTGCAGCACCCTTGTCCCCGGCAGCAGACGTCTCTGCCTCTCCTTCCTTCTGCTCTTGGGATTTCAACCCTTCTGTCCCGGCGGCGGCACCGACGTCCTCCTGGGTAGGCTTGTCCTTATCCTCCATTTGAACGGGCGCGGGTATCTGGTCTTCGCCGCCAGCAGACTCCTTGGCCCCCTCGACGCCCTTGACATGCTCGCCCGTCTTGTCCGCCTCGGCCTTTTGGCCCTGGGTAAACTTGTTATAGGCGCCTTGCAAGTTTTGGCCATAGGACACGGCGTTGCGGATGCTGTCGCCGTACTGCATGGCCGACTTGGCCTTGCCCAGAACATTCCAGCCGCCGCCCTCCTTTTTCTCGGGGGCCTGTGCCGGGACTTGTGTCGGGGTGTAGTTGTCGTCAATGTGAACGTTGGCTTGGCTCTCGCCCTGGTCTGAGATGACGTCTCCCTTCTCGGTCACTGCATCCCCGACCAGCTTTTCGTGGTCCTTGACGTCCAAGACGGTTCCTATCACCTTGCCTGTCTTGTCGATGATCTCTCCCTTTTCATTGACCATGCCGGCCACGGTTCGAGGGACTGACTCGGGGGTACCAGTGTCTGCAGCACCAAATGCGGTTAGATCCAGGGTAATCAACACTGAAGTTATCAAAAGAGCAGCTCGCATCTATTACCAACTGCAATGTATTGATGGTTCAACGGGCGGCATGCACGACGCACCTTCTTTTTGCTGCTTGTCTCCCTCGGTCCCAGATCCGACTGGGTTAAGGGACGATAGTGGTTTGGTGACTGGCATTATGCAAGTCCAAAAAATTGCCTGTTACGGAATTAAACTATGGCGATGTCTTGGACATGTTGTGCCGATCCAGCCCCTTCATCTCCAGCTATGGGGCGACTTTATACGTGGTATAAAGCCATTTTCGTAATCCAGTTTTTTTCCCTTGTACCCGTCCAAATTTGTCAACGTCAGCAATGTGTGTTGACGGGCTCTCGTGCTGTTGTTGAGGTCATTTGTGAAGCGCCTGAAAGTGACACTCCGCCATGCATACGTCACTTTCTGGCGATCACCCGGGATGGAAATAGATGTTTGCACATCGTGACGCAATTGCTATGGGGACTAGGTCAGGAACACGGCCGTGAGAAAGGGCAGGTGGATGAGGCTGGTGCGCGGTCTCTGGGGACCAGGGAATTGTGGCTGAACGAGGCATTGCCAGTGCCTTGTTTTTGACTCTTGGTCTATTCAAAGACAAAGGCCACAGAGCCGAGAACGATGCAACCATTGCACGTGGAGGTTGTCGAGTTGTGTCTCATGGAGACGGGAAACGGTGGGCCGCTGGAATCTAAGTTTCGGCGTGGCTTTCTGTCGAGGGTGGGCATAGCCAAACTCTTCCTTGCTTCTTCGTCCATGAACGGCTTGTGGTTTCCCATCTGGCGTAAACGCGAGTGATCGAGGTGATTCTTGAACTGAACCCGGTGTGGATGCAGTAGCCAGGATCCTCGAGAAGATGAACATGCTTGCCAGCCGCGTCGGCGAATGCGTTGTTGATGGTGCTGCACGCGATCCGAACTAGTGACGCCTCTGAGGTAACAGAGAAGTCTCTGCTTGAGCATCAAGCCGAACTGTGGCGAAGAGGTTGGGAAGCTGACGTGTGGCCCAGTCCATCCCGTCTGTTGATGATGCTCTCGTCGCTGTCTGCGGCCGTGACACATTTTACTGTCAATTGATAAAGAGAGAAAGCGGAGCCCAGGATAGTTCTCCACTTTTGGTAGTGTAGCGGCCAGCCCTATGATATTTACAATCTACTAGTAGTTTTGTCTACGGCGTATGGTAAACTCGGATGGGAAATTGTGAATTGAGAATTACATTCATGCCATCATTCCCCCTCGTGGTGGCGATTGAAGACCGTAGGAATCTTGATGATCAGCTGGATGCCATCGTGCGTAGACTTGACGTCCAGGTAAATATCCGACGGGCTTGGAGTCGCCGTCCGACGAGGCACATCGTCAGTCGCTCCTTCTGTTGACCTTTCCTGTGACTGCTGCTGTCCGCCAGCAACATTGCTTGGGCCCGGGCCTCTCTCTCGCTCTCTGCATCCCGCACAGCCTTCCGTCTTGTTCTCCTTGGAGTGGTCCTTCATCCTGCCCACAACGGCGCCATGGTGGTCGTAGATGTTGCCCGTGTGGTCAATCTTCAGTCTCTTGTTGATGTGGTCCTCTGCTGGCGTTGACGAGTCCATGTGGTTCTCGGACACATGCCCTGCCACGTCTCCGCTGCTATCACGAACTATGCCGTCGCCGGACACACATCTCCCAACCATGGACGGCAGGTCGCCTTCCACGCGGCCTAGGACTGTCCCGTCCCAGTCGAGGATGTTGCCGAACTCATCCACGCACTTGCCCTCGAGCCCGCGCACCAGGACAGCCGGGTCGTGGATAGAGGACATGTCTGTCGTGATTTTGGGAATCTGTATGGGTTTGTTCTGTGCATCTGGGGGACTCTTGGCTAGTCTCAGGGGGTTGGAGGAGCGGCTGTCTTGCCCTGATTCGGGCAACGGTTCAGGAGAATCTGTCTGCGGCGTCGATGTGCCCGTCATCTTCTCCTCGGGGCCCTGGTGAAGCATCCCCGGGGTAGGCAAAGGGGAGTAGATGGGACCAGTGTCAGCCATTTCTATTCGTTCGCAGGAACTTTCGGATGCCAAGTGATCATGTCCGAGAGAGAGAGAGTTATGGGGGGGGAATTTCTCCAGTCATGGCCTTTGGATTGATTGTTTTTCCATGATATCCGCCGCCCGAGGCTCCGGGAGGCTTTTCTCGCATCCAGCAGCGGTCCACGGTCACGGCGACTACTTTGACGACGGGGAGCAGGTGCGTAAAGAAGGCCAGGATTGAAATGCACCCCGATGCCTCGAGCATCTCGGCTCCATGGAATCCACAGCGAAAAGCGGGATATTGTGGCATCTTGGCGGCCGCCATCGAGGAAACCATGGTCGAATCGGAATTACGCACAAAGACGGCAACCCGGAGCTTTTGGCCCGCTTCGCCCCCATGATATCTGGGATAAGATGCGCAAGGGCTGGTTGCTCCAGATCCAGCAAATAGCCACGCTTTCTATTCTCGTATATCCCTCAAGTGGCCAAAACCAGCACGAGCTGCATATTTCAGTCCGACTTGACTGGGCGCCAAACTTGTTCGACCCACCCGCCTTCTTTGACATCAACGCCGTCAAGTCGAACACTTGCGTCAAGGTTACGTTTTGATATTGCGTATACTGCCGGCCGAGTTGGTAGAATATAGTTGTCTATGAACTAGTATCCGCTACTATGCGGTGATGCGCATGATACACCCGATGTGTTGAAATGCCTTCCGCCTCCCACTATACCACAGTATAGTTGATATTCGGTTCTACTTGTATTGACGGAACCAATGTTACAAAATATACGGTGAGTCACGATACTATTTAAATCCCCATGCGCATCCCCATACTCGGCACTTTGCGCTCAAAGCCGTAATCAATCCTCTCCATCTCGTATGTAGGAACTCTCCATTCCCAGTACCGGCTTTCGATGAAGCATGACAGATCCCGCGGGTCCTTGTCGCTCGCTGCCGCCATCTGTCTCCGGATCCCAGTATAATATCCACCTCTCCACACCATTATGTTCCTGTTTCCTTGCCACAAACCCCCCAGCGGTCCCATCCAAGGTGAGAAACCGCTCGTCCTCGCTCCAGCCCCATGGGCCTACAATGTGGCCTACAGTGTCCTTCCGGGCGCCGTACTCCAATGCGCGCGTGTCCCGGTTGACGTAGATCCAGTTGAGCATGGGCGGCTCGTCCTGGATGCTGCTCACCAGCCCGAGGTGCTGCTCCTCGCCGGGATACTTGAAGTGAAAGCCGCAGAATTTGTGGCCGTGGACATTCTGCCCCGGAAACTCGAGCACCAGCTGTGTCAAAATGTTAGCCAAACCAAATTTCATTCACAATGGCTGCCGATACGCGAGCCGTGGCACTCGCCTTGCCGTCTTTTAGGAAACAGGTTGCCGTTGCATCGCTCAACGGGCTCTCTCCGACAAACGACGCTTCCAGATTAATCTTTTCTTGCTCTTTGGAAGCAGCGTTTTGTCGCTTCTGCGCACTCACAGCCTCGCCGACGCCCGTAATGGTAGGTATCGAGGTGATGGTAAGGAGCCCAATGACCATGGTCGTCGTGGTGGTGGTGTTGTGTTTCGTATCCAAACAAACCAACAGGAACTTGGCTTGCAATATTGAGAGCGTGTGGGGGAGCCCATGACGTCTCTTTAGGAGGTTTTATTCCTGCTTCCAGACAATCCCCTTATTCCATATTCAGCATCGATGCCCGTTCCGCACTTCGCTATCCCGTACTCTCCGCCACGTCTTCCGCCACCCCTCCCCCCGTCATGTCGTCGATCGATCCGGGGCTAGGCTGTCTCTAACCGTCAAGGCGGACATGTTGTCATCGGGCTGGTTGTCAAACAAGGAAGTGCGTCATTTGCCCCAGCCACGATCCCCCCGGTCCCACTCGTACCAAACTATCAACTTTGGCAATGTGCTCAAACAGGTTTACACAGCCGTATATACCAGATTGCTGTAATAGCCGTAGAGTATAGTAGTACCCTCATGCCATGATATGACATCACATCCAGCCACCCATCTTGTTTCGACGAAGTTGATAAAAGAACCCATGAGAGAGAAAACCCCGAACTGGATATTCACATGGTCCTATTTTCAAACACTCACACCCAACAATCACTTTTCATACATTTCACACTACCAATACTCGTAGTCGGCCTCGGAAGCAACATCTAACAGGAACCACTTCATCATGGCTGTGAATGTAGGTCTTGCGCTGCCAAACCCTCGACTTCACCATCTACCATGTGCTGACGATACCGTAGGAACCAACAATGCTGAAGGAGAAGGAGCGCAATCAGCCAGGCAGCGGTTCGTTCCACACACGGACAAGACATTCCCCGCAGAGGCATGGCTAACACGGGCACCCTTTAGAGTCCGAGAATGAAAACCAAGAAGACGACACTGGGCCGCACGTCAGCAACGAGAGCACTGCGGAGGAGGAGCAGGAGCAGAGCCTACAGCCAGCACGGCCTACCAAACCGGCGACAAGGAAGCGCAAGCGTCCTGTCAATGACCCCTGGGAGGAGGAAGACAGGCAGAACCAGATGATTGCACGGCAGCAGCGCCAGCAGCAACAGATGCCCGCGCCCATGCCCCAGCAGCAAATGATGGCTGCGCCGAAGGACGAAAAGAAGAACCCGCTGAAGCTGCGTCTTGACTTGAACTTGGACGTGGAGATTGAACTGCGTGCCAAGATCCACGGCGACGTCACCCTTGCCTTGCTGTAAGTACTGTCCAAATGGTGCCTTTTGAGGATGTACCTTGGAGAACTGACTCGGGGCTTAGTGATATGGGTTAGTGAGGGATGAGTATGTTTGAAGGACTGGGCTAGATTTGAAATACCCATGTTGGATTTGTAACTTGATATGAGTTATGGTTTATGAGAATATTGAGACGTTTGCCTTGGGAAGTATATACACGGTACTATTTCTTTTCAAGAGTTGTCCGCTGAAATCCTGATGCCCGTACGTGCCGTGCCCCGGGAGAGTACAGCGTAAGCCTGCTTTTCATCAATCTCCGGCCGTAGCATACACGGATCTGATTGAAGTAGAGGGCAATATACTTGACCTTGACACTGTGTTTATAGAAGCATGTGGCTCAAGTGCTGTCACGCGGAAATGGCCCAATTCAAAGGTTACACAAGGGCTACGGTCCCGAGACCTAGGGTAAGGTCCCTCACCGACTTCTTGTATTTAAAGAGGTCTTTGGTCAACGAGGCCTTGAGGAAGAACCAAGGACCTTTGATACCAAAGACTGTTATTAGATGATTTGAGCTAACTTGCTCCAAGCCCTCTATGAGCCCTTGTCACAGCTACACACACCTAAGATATCATGTATATATACGCTGTCAGAGGTCCCCGGTCCCTAGATGATTCAAACCAAGGACCTTTAAACGCAAGGACAATTATTAGATTAGATTTGAAGCTATTCACAAGCCCTGAGTCGATGCCGTGTCACAAGTGCGGTTTGCAATCACCTTTTTGCCTGGCAAGGATCGGCTGGTCAGACGGCAGTTGAAAGTTTAGTCGGGCCGAAATATTACGATGCCTTGGAAACCAGAAAGTAAACGCGGTCATCATCTCCTTGAGCACAGTTCCCGCATTTACCTTTTATTCGTACAGGATCGGTCAGCGACACCGCGCTTAACTGAGGGTGAGGCGCACTATCAAAATGCCTCGGAATTCGGGAACTGGGAATTTCACGCGGTTGTGGGCTCGAACCAAGGGGTTGAAAATCATCATTTACAGTGCACTCCGTATGATGCAGCAACCCTCGGGAAAGTGGGAGTGTACAACTCTCTGGCTCTTTCTGCTATTCTTGGTGAGTTTGGCACGTTCATGGTTGGGATTATAACGTGATGAGCATTCATTTGCCACAGCCGGAGGACATGTTTTTAAGCGTATCGTCTCGGGCTTATAATCGCCACGGCTGCCGAATCTCACAATATTGAGGAGAGGTTTACATTATTCTGTTTTTCTCCTCCTACTGGAAGACAAGACTTACAAGATGAATCAAAATGCCTGTGGTCAAGGCGGGAGTAGTCAAGACAGCCGCTGTTACCGTTGGTCACCGCCGAGAAGTTGCTCGAAGAAAATAAATGGTGCGATGACCCTATTGCAGAGACTCTACAATGGCTCGGTAATGCAATATCATCCATTCAAGAGGCTGTCTGATGTCCCTTGCGGGATGACATTCGACCAAGACAAACGTAAGAGGACAGTCAAATGGAGGCTGGCCTCGAACAGGTTACCGGATGGAGCAAAATACCGACCTTATCCCTCCGTGATTCAACGCCTATTTTCTTTATATGTATAAAAAGGAAAATGTAATAAATAGAGTGCGCTTATGTGAGGCATTGTAATCAGGTCTGTGGTAGGAATGAAGGATACAACGTGGAGGGTGTAAGAGGCAGATGCTGGCACTGTGGCCATTTGAGATGACTTGGTGACTTGGGGATGCACCACATTTCGGGTCGCACGCAGGCGGCAGCCATAATTTAGCAATCCAGAATCTGGCCTATGATTCATGTCATACAAGAAAAGGAGACGCCAGACAAGATGCACCGCTTGTATGAAAATTGAACGTTGCCCTAGATACCCACTTTGATCAATGACGGATCTGGCGATGGAAATGAATAGTGTCTTGGAGGGACTTGCATACCAGTCGGCGAAGCAGATGCGGCACCTGGCTATCGCGCTTGATATACTCATATATAAACTAAGCGGGTTTGCCCACTTGGTTGCCAACGGTCTGGCAGTACATTTGACAACGAAATTTCCACTTCGAATGGACTGACGAATGGAGCCAGACACGGTTGATCATTGCCGTCTCTGACGGGGTCCCCGTGACTGCAAGGGGCTTTTCTCGGTTTCTTCGTATTGGCGCCAACACATGCCACCCGAAGGCCCTCGATGATCAATTGTGCCACTAGGCAGGGCTGAGAAAGGGCTGTGATCTTTGAGAAGTTGCCCCGATGGGCGAAATCCCATGTCCGCCCGTAGGGCAGACGGCCCGCCTTTTCACAATTACAACTAACTACATATGTAGTTTACGGAGTACCCGCGACAGCAATGCCAGGACGCAGGAGCAAACAACCAGTCTGCATGCTGGATGTGCGCCCATTTCCATCTCCAATCACTTTGACTCATGCTTCAGCCGTAGACCAGGTCATATGAAATGATACCGCCGAAATGCAACCACAGGCTAATCAGCCCCTCACCTCACCGGCAGATCCTCCGAAGATCTTGCCCTGCTGAGGTGATGGCTCCCGCATGGGTGTCGACGATTCTATTCATCCGCCTTACGCTTGAGCCTCATACAGACGGGCACAGTTTTTTTTTTTTTTTTCCATGTTATTGGGAGAGCACTGCGATGGCAACTCGCTCACTTGAGGCTGTCTTGTCCTTCCACGGGCCCAGTCAAATCCGCCAGTGAGTTTGGAGGGTTATTCTCAAGTCCCTGATCATCTCACTCGTCAAGCTCTCTTTTTTTTTGTGTGTGTGTGTGTGAATTCCTGCCATGAGCCGTCTCACCCCCTCCTCTCGGCAGTCATTTAGCAATTCGAAAGTCTCTCATCTCCCGATTCTTCTCATCCACGACGAAAACGCAAAGCAAAGGCGCAAGAAAAACTGGGCAATCACCAATGGCGAGCCGCAACCCCTTTGAGAACAACGACCATCGGGACCCCGACGCTCACGCCCCCGAGGCCGTCGACATGCTGTCGCCAATGACACCACTGTCAAACCTCGAGAGCGAGCTGCAGACCAAGTACCAGTCCGCGCGCAGCTCGGAGCGACAGCCGCCGCCGCAGAGGCCTGCCGACTCCGAGAAGGAGGTCGTCAGCCTCGAGCACGACAGCGCCCTCAAGCACGTTGTCCCGCTGGAACTGACATCAGAGTATCCCGAGACGGCAACCGTCGTGACCCCCCCGACGCCCCGGACCATGGACGCCGACACCCTAAAGGTCAGGTCAATGTCGGACGCCGCGCCCGAGGCGCTGCCCCCGGGAGGCGAGGGCGGCGGCGCAAACAAGGACCAGCGCATTCTGGGAATGAGCAGGAAGGCGTTCCTGATACTCATCGCCGTCGTCATCATCATCGTCGCGGCCGCCGTGGGCGGTGGCGTGGGTGGCGCCGTTGCGTCGACAAAGAAGTCGGACGCCACTCCCGCAACAAGCAGGTGAGAATGTCCATGTTTCTTCCTTTTTTGACCCTTTACCACAGGTACAAACTACGGGAAGTAGGTGCTGAAGCTAACGGGAAACTTTGCCTCACTGTCAGCTCATCCTCAAGCACGCCCACGTCATCCACGGCAACGACGTCGGGCGCGGCGCCCTCGCAGACGGTCCAGTTCCTCAACAACCAGACCTGGCCGCAGGGCTATGATTTCGCTTTCCAGGGCTACTCGCGGCCCAACTTCACGGGGGCGGCGACGCAGATCCTCACCGGCGACGGGGGCGCCAACACGGGCAGGGACTTTGACTTTGACGTCCACAGCTACATCTGGGTGCCCAACATTGGCAACTGCTGCGTCAACTTTTGCGCCAACAGCACCAAGCAGGGCTACATTGGGTATAAATGCACCCCTGTGAGGAAGAATGAGTCGTCCGAGGCGGTGGCGCGGGCGTTTGTCTGGTGTGACAACACGCACAGCGATGCCATTGCCGAGTCCAAGGGGTGCTCATAACACGGCGTTGTTTCTTTATTCTTTTTTTTTCTTGTTCGCCAATTTTTCCTTGTCTTTGTTCAATGTGGCCTGGGGGCGCCGGGAGGATGCTTTGGTCCAACTTGCTGGGAAGGGGGATTTTTTGGGTCTGGGAGAGATTGGAAGAACATGGTCTCTGTTTTCCAAGGTCTTGCGCTATATATACTTTTTAATGCAAATACTACTTCTTCTGTTACGCCTGGTTGCCGAAACCAACGTTCTTGCCATTATTATTTTGTGTGCTTCTCTCTGTCGTTCCCTGGGAGTAGGATACGTGGGTTCTGGTTCGGTTTTGCTTATAGGGTCATGAATGGTAGACGTTGCATCGACGGGGTTTGTTCATATTTCCTTCCCTTTCCTTTTATATAAATGGAAACACGATGATGGGGCCTTTTGGTTTCTATTCTAACCCTCCAGCGTCAGGTTTGTGATAGTTTCTGGCCCATTCGCACCCAGTTCGCACTGCACATCACCATGGCTCGCTTACAACGCAGACACTTGACAGCAGTAAACAGTCTGGTGGTAACCGGAGCATTGGGATTCGCTCTTGCTCGATATGGGGTTGCCCACACGAGCTGAAACGGTCTAGCTTCGCCGAGTTGCTGTGCATGACGGCGGGATGCAGGCGGCTGCATTCTTACGCTCCAAATATAGTAAAACAGAACGCACGGTATCGAATGTGCCATGGGCAAAGGGAGGCGTTGCACGACATGGTCCACAGATGAGCTTAAATGGCTGCGTGGAAACCGCATTGGGAAGAATTTGCCAGTTTCAGAATGGTTTTGTTGGATTGGTCGCGGTGAGGTTTTTGAAGCAGCTCTTCAACGACCTACTAGGAAAACTGTCAGACCCGTGTGAAAACAGATGACTTTGGATGTTCTCTTTTCACATGGAAAAGTCATAATGTTTAGCATGGCCGTCATGGAGCCGTAGCAAGCATCGCTCGTCGGATGCTTCAGACGTTGTCCGAGCCAACCATGGTCTTTTTCATAATGGCCACTGACTCCTAGAGTGCGGCGAGTACGCACTCGCTAGTTTGAGGCCCTCTGTTACGGTCGGGTGCGTGGACTCGCAAAAAGCAGGAGAGTCTATACGAAAAAGACGGAAGCGTGACGTAGTGAGGGCCGAGCTGCCGTGTTGGATATTTTATCCACGGGCCAGCAGTCGCGAATTGGGACACGCGAGCGATAACCGCATAGATTTGTGGGCGCCGCATATAGCAATACAATTTCGACCAGAGAGAGTGCTGAACTGCTAGTGGAAGATGCTTGTTCGTCTCCATGGGTTTCGTTTGTCTTTCTATATCAGGATGACCAAAGACGTTTTCGGATGACGTGGTCGGTTGCAAGTTTGGTGCGCAGGCGCGGGATAAAAAGACTATTAGCTGACATGTGTCGCGACTGGTGCAATAACGGCTGTGCGCTGAGACGGTTTTGGCACCGTTTTGGAGCTTGACAGTCGAAGACGTGGTTCTGTCGTGTTCCCACACAAGGTGTATGCGGTCATGAAGCGAAAAGTCCAACGTCCCTTGACTGCCAACACACGAGTCGGCTGTCTGCCAGTGGCCTTGAGCGGCCACGGAATCGACAGGCTCATCCACGTCAAACAGAACCATCAGGCCCCAAATTCCATGTTCGATATGCCGCCATCGTGGACCTCGGTGGTTCGAGGTAGACCTGAGGCAAGGACTCAAGACCAAGTTTCACTGTTGGGTGGGGGGTCGTTGGCGTGTCGCTGCCCCGGATTTCCGCATTTGGACGAAGTGGGCGCAGAGAGAGCTATCCGCTGGTGGGGCAGTGGTCCGTTTGCTTAGCCCAATAGTGTTTTGATTGGTTCACTTTAGGTAGTGGCTCCACAGGGGCTCCGCCAGTTTCTCAACGTAGCGAGTTCGTCCCCCACTGACCAGGGGCTCTTCAGGCCTGTGAATGGATGTTACAGCGCACCGAGGTGCTGACTTTTGCCCACTGTCCAGCCTACAGGTGCAGGTGCTACGCTGACGAGGGATGCTGGAAAAAGACGCACCAGCATTGATAAGAAAGGCCGAGTGACTGTCTAATCCAGAATATATTCACCTACCTAGGTACGTAGAACAATTACCCAGCAGTTGTATACTAGTATACTCCGTCACATTATAGTATAGAGCACGACGGGAAAGTATCTGGTCTGGTCAAATACTTTGTTCTCTCCTCCGGTAGATTCGTGAAGAGAAGATGATGTGGCATGTTGCCGGGATTCAATGTCGCCATGGGTTGTTGGTCATCCGGGTGCGGCAGACCAGACTGACAACGTTCAACACCAGCAGCCAGCAGCCCAATGGACAGGGCAACGGTAGGCCGACAGGGTTTAGCAGGCAACCAGACTCCACTGGGCCGACCAGACGCAGACGCCCAAATGCCATTGACCAGACTGCACTGGACAAAAAAACATGCCCCAACGTTGAAGTGCGGAGGTGGAGCAATTGGGAGAATCCGACAGAGAGAGATGCTTGATTCAGTGATGTTGTTCTGCATTCAACTAATGCTTCAATGTGCAGCTTCGCCTCGCCAGCGCCATGTCCAAGCTGCAGCATCACCCCTCAGACCAGTTGGCGGCTTGTTGGTTTGTTCCTGGAGAATTATCTGCACCTTGGCCTGGGTCGCATCAGCCGATATCTGAAGCCCCATGCGTCGACCCGATATGTTCCTCGCCGCGCCTCCAATCACCAGTTGTGTGGCCAGATCCAAGCCGAGCCCAGTTGACCGGCTTGTTGTACCTCTGTACCTCGCACCTTCCCCAAGCTGTCACGCCCTCATCACTAAAGCCTAGAGTCCTTGGGTCCCTTCGCCTCCCAACCCTGCATCTGCATCTGCATCTGCATCGTCGCCTCTCCGCCTTTGAACCTCGACCCCTTCTCTTTTGTAACCACGTGCCCGGCTTCATCTTGCACAATCAAGGTCAAAGCCTTGACTGTTCTCACGACGTGCTCACAACGTGCACGCGCGTTCAAGCACAGACCAGCAATCCCCCTGTCGATTGATGCCGGCGCTAACGTTCGTGTGTTCAATCCGTCGTTCCTCTGCTACGTGCTTGGGTACTTTGGGTGCCTCCAATCCGCCCCGCATCTCCAATTCCCACTTCGTCCACTTCACCCAGGTCATCCCTGTCACATGTGGAGGCTGTCTGCCCGGCTGTCACTCCGGTTCTAAGCCCGCTTCGCCATCGTGTGCCCTCATCGTTACACCTGAAATCCTCCTTCTCCTTCCCCTCAATCTCTTCTTCCTCTTCTTTCTCTCATCCTTACTTTTCAGCTTCAAGCCCATCGCCGCCAAGCACCGTCCTGTCATTAGGCCCTGCAGACCAATGCCCAAGGTACTGGATCTCTGACGCTTGCTTGAACGGCTCACTTGCCTAGCAGTCCACCGTCCCAGCAGCACCTTGATTCGCCGCCCATCATGTTGTCCTCCGCAACGTCGAATTTGACATCGCGCGCTAATAATCTGTCCTCGGTCGCACGCCGCCCCCGGAGATGCATTCAGCTGCCATCTCCCTCCACCGCCGCACTCATTCGCTCGAGACATCGGCAATGCAGGACCTTCTGGTTCGGTGCCTGGAATAGGGACTGTGAGGGAGATGCATCTCACAATTCTCGACGCCGCCATCGCGCCCATCGCTATCGGTACATGGAGTCTGTAAACCGCAGACTATCTTGGGACAACAAGCCTCGCCATGACAGTATTCAGACTGCCATGAAGTCGGCGTTTGCTCACATCGCCCATGGCCCCACCAAATACATCAACGTCCGTGACGTCAAGTCATGGTCCGATGAACTCTCCGGCGTGCGCCCAGGGAGAAATATCGAAGATGTCGAGCGCGAGGCCATTGACCATTTGTTCAGCGGCGGAAATAAGGACCGCTCGCAGCGTTCAGGACATTGGTCATCACGCCTGAGCGGCTACCTTCATGGCAGGCAGACTCCAAAGGACGTCACTCCGGAGTCTGTCTTGCACGCCACCACATCGACGGGAGAGAACTCACAAACTACAGCCGCATCATCCAAATCTCACACGCCATTTGCTCCAAAAGCTTCCGAGCTAAAAGGATACAGGCCACACAAATTCGATGATCCAAATACTCCACAAAAACCCTCCTCCGAGGAGCTCTCCAAGAAGTACAATGATCTTGACAAGTACACGGCTGTGACGTGGAATGAGCCCGATGGCATTCAAAAGCCCACTCCTGAAGAAAATTCTAAACAGCACAAAGACTCGTACAAGTACGCCTCGCCCGACATCTCGAGTGAAACTGCTACCGCCGAAGCGCCTGAAGAGAAATACGATGACCTCAAAAAGTATAAGCCCGTAGAGTGGAACGAGCCAGATGGCCTTCGTAAACAGTCCCCAGAGGAACTTTCCAAGAACTACGACGACTTGGATAAATATGGCCCTGTTACTTGGAATGAGCCTGATGGACTGCGCGAGCTCACCCCCGAGGAACTCTCCAAGAAATATGATGATCTCAAACAATACGGTCCTGTGACCTGGAACGAGCCCGATGGTCTGCGAAATCTCACGCCCGAAGAAGAGTCCAAGAAATATAACGATCTAGAATCGTACAGAACAGGTTTTGTAGCTCCTGATGCCGTTTTGAAGGCTCACGAAGTCAAGCAACAAGACCCCACTCCTAAAGCGGAACCCGTCCCCGCCAAAGTGGTAGTCCCCATGGAGGACCCTGCCAAAGAATACAATGATTTACATAAATATGGACCTGTAAAATGGAACGAGCCGGATGGTCTTCGAAAACCGACCCCCGAAGAGCTATCCAAGAACTATGAGGATTTGCACAAGTATTCTCAGTATCCTAATGCTGGACCCGCAACTCCACGGATACACCCTGAAGAGGCTTCAAAGCAATACAGTGACTTGCCAAAGTATGACTCGTTCCCCAACGCGGGTCCTACGACGGAGCGTGTCCATCCCGAGCTTGCTTCGAAGCAGTACAAGGACCTTTCCAAGTACCCCTCTGCTGGCTACGAAGAGCCTGATAAAACCGAGCATGTCCACCCTGAGGAGCTCACCAAGAACTACACGGACCTGGACAAATATAAGCCCGAATCATTTGATTCGCCATCCATGCCCTACCCGATGCACCCCGAGGAAGCCTCCAAGGCTTATTCCGACTTGAAATCGTACAAACCGATCGGCCATAATGAGCCCAATGGCAAGCCAGTTGAGAAGCTTGACCCTGTGGCAAGCAGCCTACGAGATTATGACAGTTCAGGAGAGTCCTATTTCGAGCCAAGGACCGCAGATGAAATTCGAGGAGACGTACTCCGAAGAGCATACCGAAACAGCAAGCATACTATGCTCCAAAGAGCCAGATTCCAGCAGGAGAACACCCGAGACTCAAATGGCAAAGACACAAACGACACGATTGGTCGTCTCGGACAGACAGCTGGTAGTCCCTCAATGACGGGAAATTATGCCAAGGACTTTCCGGATGAATTCGCTACCTCTTGGAATACATCGAACTCGTGGTCAAAAACGACGCTGTTCCCAAAGAACCTCGCCACCAAGGAGCAGGCCAGCAAGGCTGCTACCGGGGCAGGCCTGCTTGGCTCAGAGAAAGGGGAGGCCGAAGTCTCATCTCTGGATGAGAGTTTTCCCATTGAGTCGTCAAAGCTACAACCTGCGCTGGATAGGGGCGCCGGAAGGCGAGAATCGCCAACGGCCATGTCCCCGCTAGAGAGAATGAAGGTAGAAGAGGATCCCTACTCTAGAATTCCTCAGGGGTTGGAGGTCAACTGGGACGAAGAGTGTGGTGGCAAGGCCACTTGGCCAACATTTGTACGTCACCACAAAGGCAAGGCAATGGAGAAGGCTTTTGCCGGACCAGAAGCGAGGGGCGAGAAGCAGCCCGTTTTGTACAAGTTGCTTGCGTTTGACCCGACCAGTCAGACCATGAGCATTGGCGAAACGTCTTCTGGCGTCATGGACACGGTGGCGCCTGCAACGCCTGCAGAAGTCATGCTTCGAGTCTCGAACCCGGCCAAGTTCTTCCCTTATTTCAGCGCATTGCAGGCCGAGGGCTATGAAATCGCGTCAGGTGGCGGCGACGTCCTTGTGTTCCGCAAGGTTCGACCAGGGCGGCCATCATTTACAGAGAGCTCGGGCTCTGCCGTGAACCCCATCGACATGATGGGCCGCTCGGCCGCAAGCAACTTTGCCAGCCCAACGGGCTTTGTCAATTACGAGTCGCCTCAGTATCGCCCCGCGACGTATGGACAAGGACCGGAAATCAAGATCGTAAAGAAGAAGAGAAGCCTTGGCCGCAAGGTGGTGATTGGCACTGCCTGGGTGGCAGGCACGGCCTATGCTGTCAGTGTGGTGGGAGAATACTTTTCCACCGGTGGCAAGCTGTTGTAAGCGCTTGGAGACGGTGGTTGGGAGACACATGTACAACGAGGATGAATAGTTTGAATACCCTCGGGGACGCACTCAACTCAGCACAGTTGCCGTCTACTCTTTTTTGTTTTATTTGTTGTTCAACACTTGGGCGCTGTGGAGTTGGGTCACGGGCATGGCATGAATAACGGGATAGGTTACTTGGCAGTGTTGAATGCAGCGATTATGTATTTTTGTCTCCATTACCGTGATGCCCTTTGTTCTCTGTCAATGCGTATTGCTGCGTGTACGGCAGTCATCCATCCTGGTCCTCTGTTCGTTGTTTGTCACCAATTTTGCCACGACTGTTTGCCCTTTTGTTCGCGTGGCACCCGACCAGCCGGCGCCTTGAAAACTGTTCAGGGCGTCTTCTCAGTGAAGCCGAGGCCCGTCTTGACGCCCTCGACGGCCCTCATCTGCAGGGCGTGCTTCTGGTCCTCCTTGCTCCAGCTCTGGCGTCTGTCGAAAGCGGGCCTCCACTCGTCCGCCGCGGACATGGCTCGCGCGGAGGCCTCGTTGTCACGCCCTGCTGTTGAAGAAGTTTTGTCTTCTTTGTTTGTTTTGTCTCCGTCAACATCACGCGAATGCAGCCATGGCGTCCAGGGACGTGGCACACGAACCTTGTGCGTGGAGAGGGCCCTGCGGTGTAGTCTTTTCCGACATGGCGACAAAGTTGAGAATGAACCGTGGTGGTTTGGGGGGTTGAAATCCAGATGGGTCACGACGAGTAGAGAGTAGAGGCCCGCGGGTAATTTCACGTCGCCACCCGGTGTCGCGGGGGTGCTGCCGGCTGTCTGGCGCGGCTTGGCGAATGAGGGATGCCGGTGCGGGCTGGCGGTACTGGTTTCTGAGTTTGACATGCTGCCGATGGTGCGGTTTGGTTGCTGAACAATCACGTCACATGTTCTGTCTGGAGGCTTATATGGCTGTGCGTATACTTTCCGATGGAATTCGTGGCGCATCTGCACGAGACAGCAGGATCCTGGTGATGGGGCACGCTCAGAGCAAGCCGTCTTGCAAAGGCGCGTCCAGTGCTCGCAATTCAACTCGCCATGGGTGACGACTCTGACGAGTGAGGCAAAACCGTCACTGAGCCGGGACACATGGAATGGCACTTGACGTTACACTAACAGTTGCTGTTTATAGCACGCATCCATCACACCTCGTACCCCAGAACCAAGCTGACGTTGCATATTCTTCCGACTCTCATCTCCTTCACAGAGTATACATCGCCAAATTTAGCCAGACACACACAAGACATGGAATCAATTCAGACGCGTCTCAAACACTCGACAAACCGCTCCCGCCTCCCCCGTACAAGGCCAGAGGGCCAAACACAGCCCTCATATAGCTCAACCCGTAAACCAAACAATGCCAACATCCCCGCCCGTCCGACAAGCAAACCAACGCCGGGCTATGCATGGGTTTTTCCTCTTTCGCCTCCGTCTTGGTAAAGAAGAACAATGACGAAACCCAAAAGACGCCAAAAATGTGCAACCGGAGTCGACTATGTACACGAAATCGAACACCAAGTCATGTTCGTACTAGCCATAATGGATTAAACGTTAAAATTTTCCTGGGAATACTTGAAAACGTTACGGTGTCTTGGGACGCTTCCAATAATATTGCTATAGAGTGTGAGTTCCAACTCTTCGTGGTAGACGTCAGAGGGTCACAAACCTTGTGCTGCTTTCTGCAGTTGCGGAGACTGGGCTTTCGGAGACCATCGACGACGGCTGCGCGGCGCTGCTCATCGTCATCTTGTTCCGGCACATAGTAATATTCACTTTCGAGCGCTTTTCCCGCAGCGTCTTTGCCTTGACGCTTGATTATGCCGATGCAGCGCGTGGCTTCAATGCTGGAGCGGAGAATGTCTTTTGTCAGGCCGGTCTTATGATCAGCAGGCAGGTTTTGCATAATTGTAGACAGGGGCGTTGATGAAAGACGAGAAAAGGCCAGCTGGTTCACAACATGGTTTGTGACGGCAGGGTCAACCTCGATGGACGGGGTGGGAGTGTGCTCTTTGGGGACACGAGGTGCAACGGGCGGTGATGATGGGATATCATGCGTGTCGTTGCCCGAAGTCGAGGTTGTCGTCGTCGTCGTCGTGCATGCGAGCTTGGGACCAACAACTCGCTTCTTGATGGGCGATGAGGGAACAGACGGCGTCACCGCTGCGCTCAGCGTCTCGCTGGAGGAGACGTTGTGAGGACGTCGATGAAGTGGCTTGGGCTGCTTGGGAGACCGTGTCGATATCGAAGCTAGTCTCCCTGCAATGTTGGCGCCAAAGGGCCCAAACGAGTGAACAATGGGGTCGTTTTCCTCATCAGGGTCATTCTCATCCTCAGGGTCACTCAGCTCGCTGGAGAAGCTGGCAGTGGCATCGGTCCGCATACTGGCAGCGACATCAATGGCATCATCATCACCCTTGGGTTCGGGCAGCTCCGGCTCATCCTCGTAAATCTGGATGCCCTCATCCCGGATAGCAGTACCTGGAAGAATGGCCTGGAGCCGCTGGGAGCTTGACAGGCTGCCCATGGGCGTCGGGCTCTCAGGCGACGTGACGCGTGTAGTCCGTCGCAGGGGAGACGACTGCAGCAACGAGGCTCCTCTCATGTGTGATCGCGGAGGGGAATCATCCCAGCTGGAGTCGGACAGGTTTGCCAGGCTCTCAGCAGCAACGGCACTACCTTTGGGCCACTGAATCATTACACGAGCATCCAACACATCCACAATGAGGTCTGTACCCTCGGTCTCGCTGGTGAAGCTGTCACCCTTGAAGAGCTCCCAGGTTCGTCCCTGGCAATGCAGCTTCAAGCCGTTCCACCCGTTGCAGACAATCTCAATCTTGTTGCTTTCCAGAGGGCTTGGGGCCGGGATATAACGCGCCTTGACGTGGACACGCGACACCAGACGGTTGGCAGAGAGTTGGAACTGCGAGGAATTAGACGACCGACCCATGCCTACGGTTTCTCCATTCTCAGGAAGCTCAACAGCCGGCACGGCCGACAGAGGTGCGCGTTCGGAAGTGGCGCGGGCCAAGGCAGGCCGACGAGGCGGCGAGCTGGACAAGATGCCCGTGCTGGAGGTGGGCACAGGCGTGGGATACTTGAGATTTGCACTTGCTGTGTGCTGGCGTTTCAATGGACGAGGAAGTGCCGGAGATGACGAGAGGGGCTCGAAGGCAGGCAGAAGTGACGGTGCAGGTCGCTTTGTGCCAGCCGTGGTGGTTGAAGTTGAGGGGCGAGCCGAAGCAGACATGGACGAGGAGGATGGCAACGCGGCTTCGTTGCCCGCAGCAGCAGCACGCGGCGGAGACGAGTCCATTATGATGAGAAATATCTAGTTAGTGAAAATGAAGGCAACGGGGCCCGAGACCATTCTTGCGTGCCACCGAGCAGCTCCTATTTTTTTTTTTCTGTTCCGTCCGAGTAGTTGTCGTTTGTGTCGTCGTGGCTGCCAAGCGCGTAAAGAGGCACGGAAAACCAACGCACCCGCCGGGACTTACACGTGCTCCTGGATGCAACAGCTGTGCAAATTGGTGCCTGTATGCTCAATGGATATCACCATGGGCCGCAGGAATAGGTCGAGGGGGGTGTTCTAGAGGTTGGCTTCGACTCTGGGCCTCGGGTGTGTGTGGTGCAAGCAAGCAAAGGTGCAGATGAGGACGGGAGAGGAGCGGTCGAGAGTATTTTAAACGGGCAGAAGCGAAGCGAAGCGGGCAAAGTGGGCTCCGACACGAACGCGATGAAGCGCATCGCGTTGGCGTTGGCGTTGGGGCTGCTCCGAGCCCTGTGCCGTAGTGGCTGCCGGTGTTGGCGTTCGTTCAGTGGGCTTCCGGGGGGTGCTGGGGTGCTGGTGCAGGTGGCGCATGCGCTGGAGGAGCGGGCGTTTGGCGGCCGAGACCCTGTGGCACCCCGTGGCACCCTGTGACATCCGCCAACAACCACTGTCAATTGCTTTGCTTTTAATCTCGGCATAAAGTCTGGTAAACCTCAGTTTTTCTTAACCCATGACTTCCTCCGTGAACACCTGCATCGATTCACTGCCCCCCCCAGCGACACGCTTCACCTCGCTCCGTCACTCTTCTTTCCCGTGACATTCCGCGCGTGGCAGGCCTCCTCGCCTCGACAGCCCGTCATCAATTAAATAGCCAGCCTCCTCTGCAAACACGTCTCCACCAGGCGCGTCTGCCTCCATTGCTCCGACCCTGCAAGTTCATTGCAGAATAAAACACACAATTTCTGACTGTATCCCGTCCTTCGTTCCCGTACTCCCAGGGAAGCCGGGTTTCCATTCGGCCTTCGCTCTAGTCCGTCCCCATTTGCACCCTAAGCTAGCTGCAAATCTGGTCAAGTGTCCCCCTTCATCCGCCCATTAGCTTTTTATCAGATTCTTGTCTACACGTCCCGGACGTGTTGAGGTCATATATGTCTTGGGGTACTCCGTAGTGCCCCCCGTTTCGTCTTTTGGCGTCATGCTGGTCTGCTGGCCTGCTGGTCCTTGCTAGGGCCTGTCGGGACTACCATGTTCTTGTCCATCCAAGGTTCAGATACGGCTCAACCATTGGTGGTTTGCCCGACACTGGCCGTATGCACGCTCTTTAACTCCGTTATTCACGGGTAGCAGTCATGAGTATCCATCATCTTCAACAAGACTAGCGCCCATGAAAGTCGTGAATTCCTCCACAGAAGCGGAAGTCGTTGCAGTGTCGGCAACATCCATCGAGAGATCTAGACACTTGATTAAACGCTGACACCACCATTGCTGTGAGCTGTTCTGATACGAAGAAACATGGTCGACCCAGCCCGGTGTCAGCTGTTCCCAGAGTCCGAAACGGGCCACGACATCGCGACTACACTACCCTGGAGATGGCCAAGTCAACAACGATTGTCCGAGTTACAAAGTTACAAGGGGGAGGTTGAAGTGAAATTCGAATGTGTGCATTCTGCGGGCGGTTTTCATTTGCCTTGTATTTGTTTTATGCAACGAGAATGCAATGTGCTGGGGACAACCCAAATGCACAAAGGAAAGGTGTAAGTGATCGTCAGAGTCTGGGGCCACTTTGTCTAAGCCAGGTCGCATCACGAAGCACAAATCTTTCAATTTAGCTTAACTTGCAAGTTAAACCACCGCCAGAGACGTCTTCTAACCTATCAGGAGACTCGGAAAATACTCCAGTTGACAATCATGTTGCCACAGTCGTGCTGCCTGGAATTGAATGTATGTTGGAAAATGGTAGCTTCACTTCACCCACGTCATTCCTCGTTCCAAGGTCGCGCTCAGAATATGCCATTACTAGACTGGACTGACCGATATGATGGATCAAGACTCAAATTTTGATAAAACCCCTGAATATCTTGATTCTTTATAAATCTCTACACATAAATCCTAATATTATGTGTCCAGCTCTGCTCACGTTCCAGCCTTCCGGGTGAGCTCCGACATTCGAGGTGGAGAACCGGCGCTCGGACCGGACCGACGCAGCGGAGACACGGGACCTGCTTCTTCCGACGCCGTACTTTTTTTTTCTGGGTCGCAGGGAAAAAAAAACTGCCTCCCACCACCGCCTTGGGAAAAATGGCAGCCCTGCGATTCTGCCGTTGTACCACCAGGAAGGTTTTCCTTCACACCTGGCTGCATACCGACATCCAAGCACATCATGGCGCCGTCAAAAGAAGTTGCCGTCGTCGGCTCCAATGCCCTGGCATCAATTGACCCTGACCAGGTGCGTCCCCCGCCCACAGCGCGGCTCACTCACCCAGTCCTCCAACTCTAACTCTTCGTTGCAGACTCTGAAAGCCTCCAAGGCTCTCCTCGCGCACATCAAAAAGGCCGCCAAGGAAACGTCCAAGGAGTCAACCAAGCGAAATCTCCTCGAGGACGAGGACGAAGAAGACACCCCCATCTGGCTGACGCTCACCACGAAGCGCCACATTGCCGACAAGGCTCGCCTCCAGCCCGGCAAGATCCCCGTCCCGCACTCGCTCAACGCGGACGAGAACAGCACCATTTGCGCCATCACCGCCGACCCCCAGCGAGCCTACAAGAACATCATCGGCTCAGACGAGTTCCCCGCCGGGCTGAGAAAGCGCATCACCCGCGTCATCGACTTTGGCAAGCTCAAGGCCAAGTACGGCCAGTACGACGCCCAGCGCAAGCTCTTCTCCGAGCACGACATCTTCCTCGCCGACGACCGCATCATCAACCGCCTGCCCAAGGTCCTCGGCAAGACATTCTACAAGACCACCGCCAAGCGGCCCATCCCCGTCGTCCTCTCCGCCAAGCGGCCCAAGGTCGACGGCAAGCGTGCCAGGCGCGACAAGAAGACCGCCAAGGACGACGGCGTGAATGCCGGCACGGCCGCCGACATGGCCAAGGAGATTGAAAAGGCCCTGAGCTCCGCGCTCGTCAGCCTGTCCCCGACCACCAACACCGCCGTCCGGATCGGCTACGCCAACTGGACGCCCGAGCAAATCGCCGACAATGTCGACGCCGTCGTGACCGGCCTCGTCGGGAAATGGGTGCCCCAGAAGTGGCGCAACGTCCGCAGCATCTACATCAAGGGCCCCAACACGGCCGCCCTGCCCATCTGGCTGACGGACGAGCTGTGGCTGGACGAGAAGGACGTCATTGCCGACCAGGAGGTCGAGGAGAACAAGGCCGAGAAGGCCAACGTCGGCAAGAAGCGCAAGTCGCTGGATGCGGGGGCCGAGCCCGAGCCCGCCGCGCCCAAGAAGAAGGCCAAGAAGGAGGACAAGGCTGCTGCGGAGAGCAACGACGCCAAGTTGGACAAGCAGATTGCGGAGCGAAAGGCCAAGTTGAAGAAGCACAAGGCTGCGGCGGCCAAGGCCATGGATGACTGAAGAAGAAGGAAGAACAAAAAAATGACGAGAGACCTAAAAGACGACAATGGGTGTCTTGGGTCATGGGTTTGAGGGTCCTGCTGCATGTAACATATGTTGTTGCACTGGCGTTGTGGCGTTGAAAATATGCGTGCTTGTCATGAATGAGATAGAGAGCTGTAAATGGCATCTACTTCCACATTCAACGTTTATGCAGACACGGTGATGGAAGCAGTAAAAAGTAGACAAACTCATTGACTGCCAACTACTGTTATTGGCTATTGTATTTCAGAAATCAAACTTGAACCCATTCTTAACCCGATTCCGACATGATTCCATTCCTACTCCGTAGTAATGCTCCAAAAAAAAAAAAAAAAAGAAAAGAAAAGAAAAGAAAAAAAAGAGAGAGACAGAAAGGCAGAGAGAAGGAACAAAAAGAATAATAGAAGCACAGCCGGGATCAAAGTTCCTCGGATACAAAGTCGTCCGCAGAAACAGCCGTCTTGTTGAATGGCCCCAAGAATTCAGTCATGACGTCCTTGAACACGTGCTCCGGAATCTGCATGTGATCACCCTTAATGGTCCTCAAACTCAGCGCACCCTTTCTATCCAGGGTCTTCAAACCCAACCAGTCCTCCTTGTACAGCTTGCGCTCCTTCAACGGCGTATACCGCCCATTGACCTGAACCTCTCCAAACCAGGACGACTCCTTGGGAATGGCAACAGTGTCGTTCTCAAACAGGTACATGACGAAATTGCCCAGGCGGGAAATATTCTCCTTGTACGTTTCATTCTTGTGCTCCCGCTCGTTATTGATATCCGCAAGGAAACTCGACCGGTCCAGGTACAAGCGGTAGTCCGTGTCCTCGACGGGGCGGTAATACTGCGCGGGCACAAGGCGGTTCTGGACGAAGCTGCTCCAGACGTTGAAGCGCAGGAGCGCCATGGCCGCCTTGCAGATGTAATCCACGGCCCCGCACTGCTTGAACTCGGTGATGCCGTTGTGCTGGCTGCCAAAGGTGATGAGGTTGCGGACGGGGGGGGAGTTGCACCGCTCAACGTACCCGCGGAGGAACTGGCCGCCCTGGGAGAAGCCAATGGCGTCGATGGCCGGCGCGGTGGAGAGGACGGGGTTCTCGGCCAGCTGGTCGCATACAATCTGCACCTGCTGGGTGACGTTGCCGATGAACGTGGAGGTGCGGTCGTCGGACCCGTCCGGGGTAGGGTTGATGATGTGGACGAAGATGCCGGGGGCGATGTCATCGGCAAGCTTGGCGATTTGGGCAAGGCCTTTGCTGTCGGCGTCGTCGCCTAGGCCGTGCCAGATGACGAGGGGCAGCGGGTTGTCGCTATCGTCGTACGAGGCGCGGGCGCGCTCGGAGTTGGCGTTGGGGCGTCGTGTTGTTGCGGCCAGGGAGGAGCCGAGGACGGCGGTTGTTGCGAGGAGAGATGATGTGCGCATGGTGGGCTGGGTCTAGACTGAGCAAAAATCCTCTGGCGGTTGGATTTCTATGACGGGGCCTATAATGCTAGTCAACGATGGAGTCGACAATGGCGTTGATGATAGAGACGTGGGATCCAAGTGCCTGATAAGCTTGGCCGACTCGGAGGTGACGTTTGCGCGGACCCTAGATGATGGAAGGAAGAAGGGGCTGCAGCTACCGCCTGCATGTACAACGGCAGACCGGTACAACCCCTGAGCTTTTCCACATGCCGGACCTGATAAGGGAAGTTCTTAGCCAATCAACAACTTGTAGTGGGGGTAAAGTACCCTAGGTTCATGAGTTCGTAGGTAGTAGTGGTTGGTGTTATGAGTGGGAGATTGCGAGCGTATTAAGTAAATTTGGAATGTATTTTTAAAGTTAACTGAATTAACTTCTTTTTAAAAGATTTAAAAACGTGTTCTTATAAGTTTACTTAAATGTATTAGAGTTTTATATATTAATTTAAGAAAGGTAACTTTTATAAAATTTTTAATGAAAATTTAAACTTACCTATAAAAACGCTTATATTTTAAATTTAAGCTTAAATTATAATAAAAAGGAAAAATCCTTAAAATAAAATAATACTACATATTAGTTTCCTTAAAGATCTGTAATTTTCTTGTACATTTTAGCTCTTTCCTTCACTTCATCCTCCCTGTGATTCTCGCCACTTGCATATCGTTGCTTTCGACTTTTAACTCATCGGCGTCATCGCACGAGTAACAAGGTAAATTAACAGATATAACTGAGCTCCCCGGTCCGCGTACGCACTAACTACCTAGGTACATGTTCCCTTTACGATTGGGCTGTGATCCCCAACTACCAGGGCAGTCAATTGAGCAGGCGCTGGGGTGCTATGTTTAGTGATGCCTCGTAGACTGATCAGAGTCAACGTCCAAAAGTGTGAAGGTAGGATCGTTGTAATACTCGCAATGGTGAAAACTAAGGATCAAGAGTATGTCTACAGAGAAAGAAATATTACGGTCGCCTATATACAACGGTTGGATCATGCCCTTTGCTCGGGATCGTGGGATCTTGGTGAGTGGTGAGGCTTCAGCATTGAATGGATGTACATCGTTTTGCTCCTCTGCGCATTGGTTCCGTCACGGCTTAGGCCATGGTGTTCCCAAGTTAAGTTTGAGGGTCTTGGCCGTCATTCACCAACGATGGAAGCGGATCTTTCGTGAACTGGCTAGACAGGGGGAATGGGAGAAGCTCCCATTTACTAAAACTGTCTGGTACATGTATCACTGTGTGAATTCAATGGGAAAATACAGCTATAGCCTGCCGTCCCTGCTCACCTCTGACAACAACTTTGCACCAGACACGTATTATGAGCCGTGTCCCTACCTGGAACAAGGACGTGCCGCTTTTGCTGAATATTGCCTGACCTCGTCGTTGACTCTCTATGATGCAGCAAGCCCCTCGCACCTGCCTCGTGCAGCCTGTTCTTTCATTTAGGCAGCAGTGTCAACCTTGTTGTTGGCTATACCAGATGGTACTCCGTATAGGCACGCGAAACAGCTTTTGGCATACAGACAGCCCGATCTATTACCCCGCATGCTTGTCCAAATTTTCACAACATTAATAAATGGCTACTAAATACGTACCTAGGTAGGTAGTTTGAACATATATATATATAACCTCCCGTCGGTTAAGTCGTTGCTCCCATCTTCCAGGCGAGCATCCTGCCTTCTATCACATTACCCAGCATCTGCCTTCGACAGCATTACTCTGTTACCCCACCAGACTAAGCCTGCTTCTCCTATTCACATCCACCGAGGATATAATGCCAGAGCAAGGGAAGGACGATCACTCGTCAGGAGAATACAGTGGAGTCATCAAGGAGGCAAATGTCGCAGTGAGCGCGAAAGGAAAAGACATTGCCGCTCTAATATCTTCGGGCATGCGCGCTCAAGAGAGGAGACGCCAAAACAGGGAGAACAAGGAGAAACAGAAGAGAGAAGATGGACAAAAGAAAGGATAATGACGGAGACGCCTGATTTCGATTTCGACGGGTTCATTCACTTCCACCGATGGTGAGGATCTACGATATATGTTGTCATTTCTCCCGTCACCGACATCCACCACGCTCTTTTCATTGATTTCGGCCTTGCAAGGCTTTGCAATAGCCCTTCAAAGTCATTCATTCACAGAACATCTTTCGAACTTGATCGTCGTATGCTTTTTTGTCCGCGATTTTCTTCTGAACGACATCCTCCGAGTTTATGCACCAAAACCTCGACAGATACGTCTCGGCTTCGATTGACAAGGATTTGGGCGGATACAAATGAGTCTCGAGAAGAAAATACATAGCATTCACAGATGACAGACAATGCCAGAACCACACTCCTTTAGACTGCCACATGTCTTGCATGACTCTGGAAAGTGTGATGTTGTGCCTTGCCTTAGCTTTCATAGCTTGCTCTTCGTCCTCGAATATGCGCATAAACTCTCGTCGTACTTCATCAAACCGGTCGAGTTCCTCGCCTTTAATCTGGTCGATGGCACAGCCAGTCAGCCAATATGGCACCCCAAGCATCTCTGAGGGAAGCGCGCATATCCACTCCAGGTCTATCAGGCCTGTGACATTCCAATGCTTGTCAACCAGGATATTGCTCGCGTGAAAGTCGGTAAGTTGAAGTAGGAACGGGCCGTTGCGGAGTTCTCTTTTGATGTAAAGGTGTGACAAGACTCGGAGCAATGTCTTCACCGCCATCTGGCCTCGGCAGTCACCCTCGCTATAGACAGCGTTTGGCTGACTAAGAAAGCGGTGATCATGAAAGGTGAGCGTGTCCGATACGAACGCATCAGTACAGCTAAATGTAGTGCTCCGCTGTATCGTATTCACTGCCCCGTCATTCTCCAAAATCATCATCGAACATGAGAGGGGTCGATTCGTCAGCGTGACGGTGCCGTCATTGTGGAAATGGAAGGAACCGATTTGCGCTTGAGGAATGCGGGCGAGTGAAAGCAGTATCCGCGACATGCCCCTGAACAGCCTCTGCCTGCGTATTTCGTCTTCTTGGTGCGCGTCAAACGAATCTGAAAGCATCTGGCCCGTTTCAGGACCTAAGTATTCCAACACCATGTACGCAGTACGCACTTGATGGCCCGGCGGGTTCTGAACATAGCGGGATAGTAATGGAAGCCGGAAGAATTTGTAAATGGATCTCCAAAACAGACGAACGATACGGCGAAAGAACGGCATTTGGTTCGTGTGTGTGAACTAATTGATGAGCGAAAGCACAGATAAATGAGGGGCCAAAACTTACATGACAGCCGTCCGAAAACCCGAAGCCAAACAAGAAAGGGGAGCGTATCTCCGGGCAATTTTCTTCTACCCATATAGATGCTCCTACCTCGCAGCTCAATTTCTCATCTATGCTGCCGGGGTACCTAGCTTCAGCAAGCTTGTGTGGCATGGGACAACGGAATATGAACTTCTTGTTTGTGTTGTCGGAGTTGACCTCGAGGAAGACGCAAATGTTGAAGCCGCCTCGAATCCAGTGGGAGGGCGGCAGCACAATGCATACATCACGCTTGCCTAACGCCAGATGATGTCTGACCAGGGCTTGTATGGATTCTCTCTGTTCCCAAAGCGCCTGATACAGTTTGTCAGTTGCCGGTCCATAAGAGGCCCAATTAATGACATTTCGCTCTTCCTCGATGGCGGACTCGATTGTAATGGGGCGTCGGCCAACAAGTTCTAATGTTGATGGCATGGTGAGTACTGACGAGGTTGGGGGACAGAGAAGGTGGGAATCCTGGGGATAACTCCCAAAGGCTTAATTACGTTGGGCAACTAAAACACCTCGGATCAATGTTAGAGCGCCCCCGCCGTTATCCATGGCGATTGAGAGAATTGAGTACAGTAAACCATGTCTATAACGATCCTGTATCTTAGCGATATTCGGGTTTTTACGATAATTCACGGTTATCTAAGGTTTTTCCCTAGTAAATCGTTCATAGTCGGGTTACTTACGATATCGTTAGTCTTAGGCTTAGTTACTATACCTTTTAGTGTTTTTATCGTTATTAGGCCTAGAGCTATAATAAGAAAACTACATTTTTAATTTTTAAAAAAGCTTAAATATTTAATAATAAATACATAAATTAGTTAATATTATAACTAATTAGCTTATATAGAAAAGCGGGTTCTTTTAGCTTTTAATAAGCTAAAAAACTAGATTATGTAATTTTATAAAAAATTACTCTACTATATTATACTCAGAGCTATAACAAGAAAACTACATTTCCAATTTTTAAAAAAGCTTAAATATTTAATAATAAATATAATAAAATACCTAAATTGTAATAATAAATTTCATAAACTAGCTAAAATTATAACTAATTAGCTTATATAAAAAGTGGGTCCTTTTAGCTTTTAATAGGCTGAAAAAACTAGATTATAAATTTGCACTATACTATAGACTATAGTCTATAAGTCTATAAAAACTACATTTATAGTTTTTTAAGTTCTAGGCTTATAAGAGCATATTAGAACCCACTTTTCTATATTAGCTTATAGTATAAAATTAATACTATTTATTCGTAAAACTTATAATCTTATAAGTATTTTATTAGATTTAATATTATTTATTATATGAAAAACTATAAAAACTACAAAACTTCAAAACTACACTACTTCCATAGCATAGCTCTGTTTACTGATCCCTTTGAGTGCGCTAAGGTGCCAATTTTGTAACGGTCCCATTGTTTTGCGATACCTACTCGGTACCTTTTTGGTAACAAGGTTAAGAACTTAAGACGGCGGGCCCCTCGGTTACAATAAATATAATACAGCTCTTTATAAACTTATAATTTATTAATACTTATACTTATAATTATGTTAATTTTTAGTAAGAAAATAGACCTTTTAGTTTAAGATTTTTCATTAGTTCGCACCTTGTTCGGTACGCAGGTGGTACCTTGGCTCACCCGAAGGGATACAAACAATGCGAAAATCGACTTGTTCTACAGTGTGTTTGAGTGTTAAGGAATTGACCACGAGACCTCCAGAGCTTGTGATGCAATTGAGAAATGTATTGTAAAGAGCTATTTAAGTGAAGAAGCATGATATAGAGAATTTAAGCCATAAGTAGTATTTACTATTAATAGACAGGGTACTTGTTGGTCTCCAACTCCCTATATCGAGTCACTGTGGAATAATTTGACCGACTTGAAAGCGCTGAAATAAGGTGGAGTAGGCGTCGCGGGCCGCCACATTATTCCGACCCGCTTCTGCGTCTTTTCTTTTCACCCACTTCCAACCTGTTATAACCTAACACTTCCCGTCAACTTTATTTCAGAACCAGCTTCCACCAAGCTATCTTGACCTGATACGCGGCCACAATAATGAACCTCGGAGTAGACTACGCGTTCCGCTGCCATGAATGAGCCATTATTTGCACATAATGCAAGCGGAAAAGCATCTTTCATATCTGTTACCACCCACTTGTCTCTTTCAAACCGATTCTGAAACGTCCCGTGCGCTAGGTTGATTGACGGACAAGTGTCCAAGGGCCATCACTCATCCCCTTTGTTACATCCATTCATGTTTTGCAGGTCAATCGCGGCCTTGAAGGATTGTGGCTGGGAATATTGCCGATCGAGCCGCTTGATTCGTTTCGGGATTGCTGTTGCAATGCACTGACATGAATAGTGGTTATGGCCTCGAGACGACCTCGAGTGCACCGACTGAAATTGGAGTCGCGGCCACTTATTTATTCCCAGCAGTATAATCTTCTCTTAGCATGCTTTTTTTTAATTTTTGTTTCTGGTACACCGTACTGGTTCGATTCTATTCCACGAGAGCCGGTCTCGTTATTCTTTCTTCGCCGCACTACCGTCGCCTAACCTCCAACATGAACGCACTTTGGGTCGTCTTGGCTGCCTGTGCAACCTCTGTTGTTGCTGTTCCCTTTCTACCCTTCAGGCTTACCGAAGTCGGGTCGGATCAACCGGCTTCTCGAATGGTCTCGGGTACCGACGTTGAATAACTAAAATGCGTTGGCTGTCATGGCCGCGCGTTTAGGTGCTCAATATTTTTAGGTATGGCTACTATTTTCCCACCCCTTAATGTCTGCTTCTGATGATATGCAATCAAAAAAACATGTTTCAAGACGGGAATGAGTTTTGTCGGTGATTCTACTGCTTTAACTGATGCATTGTCCAAATTTCGCTTGGTTAATTAGCTGATCAGAACATTTGCTAACTGCTTGAACAACAGACATCCATTTGCAGTGTGACCGATAGACTAGTCGAAGTGATACTTGCTGGATCTGCGGCAATATTGTTGACAAGCGCTGTCCTTCCACCCGCGATGCCTAGTCCCGACTGCTCTACTCGTCCAGTTGCATACATTACATTAGTTCAAGAATTGACGTGTCACTGCATTAAATCGAGCCGTACTTCGTCACATGTAGTAGCGTCGTGTGATCAGTTGTGTCGCAAAGTGAATTAATGGAGTAAAAATGTCCCGAGACAACCTGGCGGCACACCTCTGTATCCGGCGTGTGGATTCTGACAATACCGTTCGTAATCTCGATGGCCCGGAGTAGGCTGGCATCAACCGTAAGGGGGGAGGAATTGAGCTTGGCCGTACTCTCGGAAATTTCTTGATGATGAAATCTGAAATCACTTGGCAGGATCCGCAGCTATATTGCCTACACCGACTTTGTGGGCGGAGTGACATGGGCGTGGAAAACTATCTGGATTGCCTGCAAAGCACACTCTGCCTTGTTTCCGCGGCTGGTCCCTAATTTGTGTCAAGAGACGGCAGACGGCGACTGTGGTCACGGCCACTGCTGAGCATACGGAGGCTTTGACGTCTCTTGACGACTGTGTCGCGTAGTCTGATTGCCCGAATCTTTGTCTTGGTCGTGGAACAACTGCTGGACGCTTGCTTTGATCCTGGGCGTTATGTGACTTCTCGTTGGGTCCCGGTGGAATTTACCTTGACCAGAGTGGGAAAAAGTTGGTTATAATGGATATTGTGAGCTGCCGTCGTGCGAGCTGGCGCTCTTATGTCTGCAGCTAGCTCTAACAAAAGCTACGTGTGGCCAATGTGCCAAACGTCTATGGAGTATGCGTGTGCGAATATTTGGCCATTTTTGGCTACCGACTTTGAGACGACCTGATTCCATACCCTCGTGAAGAAAAGATACGCAGAGTATGAAGGGGAGACCAAAGCACAACGAGCCCCGCCAGCTGACATCTGTGCTGGTTAGTGCGAGCCATGTATTATTGAGTGCCAAGCATTGGCAAGTGCCAACGGCGGTCATGCCAAACAGCTGTTGGTCCAGATGTCAGACGTCAACCACTCCATGGTGTCTTGGTCTTGGCATCCGGTGCAGACACAAACTGTCCATCCGACTTGAAACCGGACGCTGAGACACATAAAACGAAGCCTCATCCTCTTTTGATGAATCTCGTAGTCTTCAACTTCCTCTGCTCCAGACCCCAAGACCCGCGAGACACTACGATAGATCAGCACAACCCAAGTCATGCCAAGACGCAGATTCAACATGGGACGTGATTGACATATGCTGTGATCAGACGGATGCCTCCGCCCACAGTCCAGGGAGTACCATCATGCCGACGCCGACGGAGTACTTTGGCTATTCGGTCACCAACATTGGCCCCTTGACCACGAGGTTTACGCCTGCGCCCTCCTGCGCAACAACCACGCGCAACGTTTACATCGAGACACAGCTGGGCGATGCAAGAGGGCTTTATGGCTTCCCCAGCTGCAACCCACCAAAGTACGAAGGATGCCTACCCAGCGGAAAGGAGATTGACGAGCTGAATCGTCAATTATCTGCCAGCCCACACAATGGGAACCTTGTATATCATTCACCTGGACTGAGATGCCCGTCGGGATGGAAGCGGGTCGGTACTGTTCACGGCGGCACAACACAACCAACGAAGCCGGAGGGTGCCTTTACCGAAATCACGACGGCATCTCCATCGCCGAATGGCGTTCCGGAACCCATTCCGAGGCTGGACGCATATGCCAACGTGCTTGATCCATCCGAGACTCTGGTGTGGTGCTGCCCAAGGTAGGAAATACTGCCCGTGATACTTGTCAAAGGTTGAGCAAGCTAACCGGTGCGGCTGTCTTTTGCTGAACTAGGGGCTTCCAGGCAAACAGAGATGCATTATGCACCTCAGATTTGGGTCCTCTCTCGTCATTTAGCTACTCACAGCGCTGTGAGGTGTATTTACCGACACAGGATCTATTGACGGTAACGTCATATCAAGGCACGATTTTGAGTGACCCATTGGTTGTGGTCACCCCCGCCACAACCGGCATTACTACATCTACGTATTCTATAGATCCCACTGAAACCTCTGGTCTGGTGGTTGTCAGTGCTGTTCCCGTCGTGGCGCTGGTGCACAGACAGGAGGATAGGCAAGGCGGGCTCAACTCGACTACCACGTCAGAGATTGACGACAGTGCGTCGATGAGATTGAAGCCCAACGTTCTAGCGATCACCTTGGGGGCGGTGCTGGCTACGTGGGCGGTTGCCGCTATTATTTAGGGCACGCGTTGTATATGATTTGGAAGGGGGTCTATATGCACGACTCGGGGGTCTTAGTTGAGATACAACAAACTAATGAACAATATCTTGGGGGTTCAATGCTCATTTCTATTCATGAGCTCGTAGTGCCGGTGTGTCCTGCAAACTGACTACTAGCTTCTCACCACTTACGCCCTTCCTCATCAAATCCAACCCTCGATTTAGCCCTTCAACTCCGGTTCCGACATTCCTCACCGGTAGCGGCAACTTATACCTCCCTCGAGGTATTTGACGCAGATGGGCCAAAGCGGTATGCACAGGTGTGGACTGGAGAAGACGAGGTCCAGGTTCCGCAGGGAGTTGAATCGGTGTTATTCAGGAGTCGGGATTTTGGACACTTGCCAGATAGTAATAACATTATGAGCGGTCTGTCAACGTTGCTAGAAGACCTCATGGCCAGCCTGGTATACCCGCGAGAAGCTGTATTTGCCGAATTGACGTGTCTGCCCACACCCTTTTCAGTAACAAGGGGCGCGTGTCCGACACTGGAAAGGTCCTTGGAGCAAGAATAAGGAATTGCCAGTGACATGGCTTCGCTGCCCACCCAGGTACATCTCCGTACATCATGTGCTTCTCTATGCCTTGATGGAGTAGGTAGCCAGCAGCGTCTTTAAAGTCCATTGGGTGATAGTCAAATCACCTTTGAAGAGGCTTGCAACAAGATCGGAGTACTGAGTGAAGTCGACCAAACTACCCAGAGCAGAGAACCTTTTTCTGCATTATGCACCCCAGGAAATGACGAGGCGGAACTGGACCATGATTGGAATGACCAATGCCGAATCAACCAGCGTTGGTGTGCTTGAAGTAGCACTCTTCTGATGGTTCTTGACACCTTTATTCGACATTACAGAGCTCTTCTCTAATGTGCAGATTTCCGTTAGCTGTAGCAGCGCCATTCTGTGACTGCTGAGCATATCCTGGCAAGCTCTGAGCTGCCTCTTTGCAGCTTCCAGGTCTGATGAGGTTGCCGAGAAGTCTGTCGCATACCGATTGATTAAAACTTTGTATGTCGTAGGCTTTTTTGAGTGTTAAGTTGTGCCAGTTGTATTCCCTGTGGAACTTCACCACGCGTCACGTTGTTATAACTTACAAGAAGCTGATGTCGGCTTCTTCTTGAAGCAGAGTGTCAAGAAGACCGTTAACGAGGCCGAGAGTGTCTAAATGAAGGTAATGGAAGTGTTCTTCATCAATATTTCGGTTGGCGATTTTCTCATTTTGTAGGCTGGGAAAACCCATGAACGCTTGGCCGCAGTGGCCGCCATCGCTCTCGACCCAGCATTGTTACAGCTCAAGGCATTTGATGTGGCTGTCGCTGAGTTCTCGTTGATGAAACAGGAACCGTTTCCCTGCAGCAAGCCTACCAGCGATGAACCGCCCAGTCCACCGTTCAACCAGAAGCTAACAGAGCACTCCCGAATCATGTCGAGCCTTGAGAGCCAGTAGAAGCGGTAGAAGACGGAATTAGATCTCATAGGGTAATGGGCCACTAGAAAAGAGATAACCAGTCTTTTTGACATACGTATTCATTCGGTAGTCTTGTGTTTCTCCATTCATGTTAAAAATGTCACTTGGCAAGTGAATATGGTCAGCATAAGAGTTGACACCAGGTCTCGTCTCGCATATACGGGGCTGACAAAGGTTAGCGTGGGCATGTTGGAGCGATGGAAATTCAAAAGGAACCCGCCTTTCTAAACGAAATGGTGACACTATCGTGACTTTTGGATCTCAGAATCGTGACGCCCTGAGGTCTCGGTGGAAACTGTGCTGCGGCCAAGGCGTCAATGCCTACGAATAACAGATTTATAACGACAATATTTAACAGAACATTGTGTTACAAACAACGTGTAAATATGAACGTGTTGCGATTTCTTAGCGGTAATAGAACATCATTTCACGCTGGATGCATTAGCCAGCGCAGATCAGCCATTTATAAGACACTTGTGTGTAAACAACACAATGGCCGTTGCTTCATTTACTGAAGTCGCACGATGAGTGCTGTCAGACACCTGACGGTACCGCAATGCAGAGAATGAAGCTAGGCATTCAATCATAATCAATTGTGGCACCAAACAAGGTGAAGGCTAGGTCTTAAAGCCTGAAAGCCCGATCGATGCTGTCATGGCAGAGATTTTCGATCGTATTTCATCAACTGATCTTGAAAGGCACTTGTTAATTGCGGCCCCAAGACCATGATAGTATATGGCAGTAACAGAATATGATGTATTATGCTATTTCGGTTTGGGCGCGGTATTGGTGTCTTGCATCCTCTTTCAGCTCGGAAGGTCAGGAGATCATATTAAGGCCGCACAGGGTGGCCGGCACGGTAACAATTCCTCCATGGTTGTATGTATAAGTGACAGGTTGACAATGTGGGCGCGAGAACTCGCCAGCCTAGTTGCAAGGGGGGCAAGGGGATCGATCACTGGGGTAGACAAGCACGATTCCCATGACAGCTTTCTATATTCTCTCATCGACTTGGCAGCCGCGGTGAAGCAACTGCCGACATGAGCAAACGTCTCGATGATCCTGGCACGGGCGATCCGTCTTGGAGTGGCGTCTTCAGCCCCAGCGCTGTTAATAAATACCAGGCAGGAGATCCCTGGTGTATATGATCGGAAACCGGGGTGGAGGAATATGCTTGTTTGTGGTATATTTGCGCCATCCGTCGGGGTATATCATGTTTCATTGGGACGCTAAAGGCAGATCAAGATGATGTTGAACAGTTGAACAACCGGACACAATTCCGTTGAGAACAGGATCATCAAACAGACTGCCAGTTTGCTCGTTTGTCCTGCCCTGCTCTGCGGACTTTGGGGCTGCGGCTCGCCATTGAGAGTAGGGGTGGCCGACGGTAAATTACGGCCGAGAAAGCATTCCATCGACGCCAACCGGTTAGTTCCAGCCTCGGAGATTTGTCCCCCGTTCTGGAGCTGTCTTGATTCTTTCTACTCGGAACACAGCATGTTTGTCTCCGCAGTGGACTGGGATTTGTTGTGGAAGTTTTGCTTGTTGACGGATAGCCGTTCTAGTGTAACGGAATTTCGGATGAAAGTGGCGGGTAAATGAGGACACTGGGGTGCACAATAGAGACGCAACTCCACACCACGTGGGATTGCGGGATGTAGCCAACAGGCATTTGATGAACACGCGGCCAAAATGCACACCAGTTGACATACAGCAGGAAGGCGCTGTCTTCTATTTCTCCTTCCATACTCGTACTCATTCCACGACCCACGAATGCCGGCAACGTGAAAATGGAAGGAGCCAAAAAGGCCAGGAAGCCACGAACCCGTCCCGTGGGCCTCTGATCTTCTGCTGGCCCGTGATGCAATATTGTTCTCGTTTGCAACGTCCTCTCTGTCCCGGATGCAGTTTCAGCAAACATTCAATGCCGCACGACATGGCCGCCCCATCGAAGCAGGCGTATCCGACCAAACCCTTCTTAAGCACGGACGCCATCCCCTTGGCCTGGCCATCTAGCCTTCGAACTTTAACAAGCCGTGCTGCCTAGACCCAGGATCGTGCAGATCACATTGACCGTCTGTTGGTCTGCGCTCTGACAATGGCCAACGTTCAACATTCAATATCTAGCATTTGGCGTCTCGAGCTCGAGCGAGCTAAGCGGGCTATAAACACGCCGGTAGCAAAATGGTCTTTTGAGACGGAAAAGGAGCCAATGACGATGCGTTCTGATCCTGGTATCTGCGCATCTAGAATTGTTCCGACGCGACTAATAAAGGTCCCGGTCGTCGAAGCTCCAGAAAAGTCCGCCCCCCTCCCCCCCAATTGAGGTGGTGCGAGGGCCGTGTGGTGGCTGTTGAAGATTCGTCCGTGGTCAGAATTTTATTCTGCACTCGCGCAAGATAAATGTCATATGGTTGTACGGCTCTCATTCGTCTCTTGTTGCCTGTACCCATGCTGAACCTGATTTTAGAACCAGCCTGTTGATTTTGGATGTGCTTGAGCATACGCGGGGAGCAAAATCCTACCACCGTGGCACATGAAGACTGCCAATCCCGTAGATGGGGGTCTCCTTGGGCCGAATCTGCGAGTGCCCACTCCTCGTCCTCGGTTTTGCCTCCAAGACATTCCAATAATCGGTCGAGGCACTCTTTCTTGCAAATGTTTGACATGGTCGTCCATTAGATCGGTACTCCGTGTGCATCTGCTAAATGCACCATCCATCAGGTATCCCGCCCACGCTCGGACTTACCAGAGGGAAAATGTCTTTACCTGGTGCCAAAGCGCCCGAGGAGCACGATTCACACAACATTGTGCCTTTACATGTAAGTCTGCAGACCGCGACCTTGTCTAGTGCCATGTATTGTAGACAGACTGTCACCTTCCTTTCATCCCTGTCTACATCATCATTCGCAATATTGGTGGTTCTTGTGCGGTTTGCAAGAAATTTCCGGGCGTTGTTACCCACACCTCTACCTGACTCCTCAGGAACAATACCACGAGAGAACAATAGAGTCTAATTTGCCCATTTTCTTGCTCAATGTCTTCATGATCCCATGCGAAGCATCTAGATGCTCCCCATGAAGTCCGCACAGGTTGACTGGATGGGAACACGATACCACCGACGCCTCACATTTGGTGCCTGGCAACCTGAACGATGAACCGATGCCATTGTCCGGTAACCAACGCTCTCACTACTCTTCACATTCCTACTAGTAGTAGTAGCAGTGGTGGTGATTTCATGCGGGTCCCTGAACATTGCATTGTTAGTCGTTTCTACTCTGCGGGAACGCCAGCAATACCTGACCTGGTCCTGACACCACAGGCTGGCTGCGATGGAGAGAGGTTTGAAGCAGTGGGCAACAGCATCATCCGCCCAAAACCACTGGATGGCTGCAGATGACTCCCCAACTACTAGGTATGTAAGCGTTCTCTTGTTTGGACGAAGAGGAAGCCATGTTGGCGGCCTATTGGATGATCCTAATTGGTTCCTAGTTCTTGGTGTGGCTTCCAGCCACTTGTGTGAACAAATCTGGCTACTGACTGTGGCCGCGTTTGAAGTTGAAGGACGGCCTCTCATGCCCGGCGGCGTCCTGGTCCCTGACTCATCCCTGCAAGACCTTCTGAAGGTGTCTCTGGTGTCGTCGTCACTCGACCCATCGGTTCTACTCCGTGCGGCGATTCCCGAGGACTTGCTCACTCAACCTTTGGTAACTAGCTCGAACTCTCTGGTAGACTGGGCCTACCGCAAATGCTGAGATGGGGCTTGTTGCAGCATATTTCGTACTTTCAAAAGGTATGTATGTATGATGTACATAAAGAACCTGTGATCAGGAGGTCGCCACGCTTTCAACCCAAGTTTCGACCACTTTTTGTAAATCCACGCTCGCAGCGTACGCAAGGAGTTTAGTTGCTGCTCGATACACAACACACATCCCGAGAGGCAAGGACTGGCGAAGCCTTGTCCGGAGGGGCTCGTACTGCCCACCACCCACCCACGTCTCAGGCGACGGGGACGGAGTCAGGTTGCGACGTCGTGCTCCCCGTGGAGAATGCGCTTTGAGCTTTGCTCTCACGATGGCCATGCACGACATGTGCCTAGAGCCAGCTTTGGCCACCACCGCAACAGCGGGCACCCCTGGTCAAGGGGCACGACCGTGGCGGCGTTGGGTCACCCATGTCCATCAATCCATTCAATGTCTCGCCAAGAGGGCTCAGGTTATTATGTGGGCAAACGTCACCGGGGGCCATCGCACCTCTCGGCAACACACCTATCCACTGGTGTGCGGTCTGATGTCGGTTGCCGCCCATCTGTTTTGGTCGAATCTGTATGACCAGCGAAAGACAGTGCAGGGTTCGGCTTTGTATCAAGTATAGCCATCCTTGCCATATATTTCTCTGCCATCACCCCGTCATGACGTGAAGTATCTGTTCTTCCACTCAAGTACTCGCTACCTCATTTACGACGACAGCTTACCTGGCGGGCCTCGTTGTGCTCATGTTCTTACGCGACGTTCATACAAGAATAAAGACACACCTTACATTGTTATCAGTGCGTTAGCGAAGCTGTCTGATCTTCATTAAGCCACTCGATCGTACGCATCTCCCCAACCTATGGCATAACCAGCGAAGGCTCGCCATGGGGTTCCTAAACTTCCTGACCCGGCGATCGAGGGAGGATGGGGGATCAGAAAGCTCCTTCAGGCTCCAAAGTGGTAATCCATTAGCTTCAGCATCAGAACCAAGTAAGCTCCTTCAACACCTACGGCAGTTTAGGACGTGCTCACAAATCTCTTGCAGGTGTCGCAGTGCAAAGCCCTTTGACACGACAATCTCTAGAAAAGCTGCGAGAAGCCTCAGTCAACAGTAAAAGGAGGCGGAAATTGACCAGATCGACAAAGCCGTACTTGTTGGGAGCGCTCAGCGACCGACCAGGTACACCCAACTCAGAGGGTCGGCCAGGCTTGGTGAGACCGTTTTCAAGCAGGAGTAAGATGTGTCTGATTGCCGACTCGGAAACCGCATCGTTGGCTCCATCCAACCCATCCATTACTGCTTCCAGGTCATATTCATCTATGCGAACCCCCGGATATATCGATCTTCTCGACGCACAAGGTGGACTTAGGCCGTACGACTTCCGCGCTCGCGTCCAAGCAGCTGGAGTAAGAGATTACGGCGAAGATGTTGCGGAACGCAACATGGGCGAGAATGGTGTTGATGTCCGAAGCGCTGCTGCGAAACGCTTCTATGAGCAAAAGAAGCGAACGTCTGTAACGACATTGTCCAATCTCAGCCACGTTTTGGATGCGGATGCTTCGACATGCGCTGGTAGTGAAGCGGGTGATATGAGCCACATTGACGGTTCAGTATATTCGTCAACCAGGTCATTGTCCAGACTTTCGATGGAGCCAAGGCAAGAAGTCAGCGGAGTTGTCGCTGGCCTATCTACAGCGCGTGAAAATTATAAGAGAGCAGCCAAATGCAGCAAGCTTGCACCCAAAGAGACACCGGAGCCCCGTAGTTCTCACAGAGATCAACCTCTTGCATCCGAAGCTAGCCACATGCAACGTTACAACAACCGAAGCAGCTCCCGTGGACGATCACTGTCGGCCAGACATTGGATCTCGACCGAACAACCGATCGCTGGTAAGACGCGAAACGACCGCTGGGAGTCCCGGCATCTCAGTCCCGAATCACGGACCAGGTCTATATCACCTCCTTCTGTTCCTCGATATCGACCAGGCAGTAGCATGACTACCATGCGCGAAGAGGACAACCGCCCTTACTCCAATTCGCAATCTATCCTACGGAGAGATGGCTTCCAAAATGACAATAATGAGGGCAGACAGAAATCGGATGACGAACAGTCAGAGTACGACATTCCATCATCGAGTAAGTGGCAGTTTCCTTTCACCTGTGATGTCTTTGTAACTAGATGCTTATTTTCTTTTAGACCGTATTCATTTGCCGTATAACTTGGATGTTGGTCAAGCTGCTCCGCTGCAATACCATCCAGACTGGCAAGTTGCAATCCAGCGTGCAGTTGAAGAATCTCTAGCCAAGCTGCCGCTGTCAGCAGATCTCAAGGCACTCCTTGAATTGTCACACAGCGAGATTCCACTCGATGATATTCTCCAAAGAGTTCCCTTACGCCATTCCTCATTACACCAAGGCTCCATTATTAGTACGACACCAACAACGGATTTCTCTGACTACGCAAGCAGCCATACTGGCCGCCCTCACAGCCGCCACACCGCAACTACCTCTATTGATTCTTCTGCTAGAATTGATGTGCATCACAAGAAAGCATTGAACACTCAAGAAGACAAGAGCCTCGCAGGGGATCAGTGTCAAAGTTCTCCATATCTCACACCAGTAGAGGATGAAGAACTCTTGATTACAGCGACGTCAACTGCCCCGACTTCTCAATCTCAAATGACACGGGATGTTAAGAAAGGCACTGGGGACAATGGTATCTCGGAAGTCGAGGAGTATGAATGCTTAACATCGGATTATTCTGATGTTGATTCCTTTACCGAGAAACGCAGACAAGTGCTGGACGATGACGAGACCAAACTATTCAACGATGGGGGTTTTGGGGATATCAGCAACAATCTACCCGGTATTGCGAGCCCAAGGGAACGCAAGAATTGCACGGTGTGTATTATCCTGGCCAACCTGCAGGGGCTTCCTGTGCAAACAGAGCTATGCACGCATGATGGATCAATGACACGGAAGCAACGTCTTCGAGCGTTGGGGTATGATTACGACTCGGAGGAGAGTGATACAGAACGAGACCTGGGACCGGTTAAAGGCCGCAGCAGGACTAAGAAGCTTACGGTTGGGACGAACGGCGGTCTGCGTCGTTTAAAACTTGTGGATGACCGCATCGATGAAGATAGCGAGGAAGAGCGAGGCGAAGCCACGTCGGCCAAAAACCGCCCAGAGCTCAGGAGGAAACCAAAGTTTCCAAACGGAAGACCAGGTCCTGTCTTACGACAAGAACGCGAAGCAGGAAATATTACCGACACGGACTAAACCCTGATGGGCTTGGAGCAACGGACTGGCTGTCAAGGCTTTGACAATATTCTTTTCAACGTCACTTTCTGTCCTCTTTTCTTCTTGTTGCAGATATTTCTGGTACCAAAAGATGGTGGCTACGCCTTTTACAAGGAGCTCGAAAGGCTTATATTCTTTGCTTCCTTTTTCCTTTTTATTTCCCGTCTTCTTTCTGATTTTAGCGATGCGTATGGGAATCGGCCGACTTTGTGGAATGACCACCACTTATACCCAAAACATCTTTTCCTTTTCCTCTTTTTAGTAGTATACAATTCGTACTCGGTTGCACATTCAAATTCTAGACCAAGATGATGACCCACGCGTCTTTCTTTCTCACCTACCTAGGTAGTGATAATTGAGGAGAACTGTACGCGTACCGCGGGCACAGGTACACTGTACAACGCACATAGGACATGGCGTACTTGGGACGGGAAGAAACCGGCGCAAGGGCGGAAGAGAAAGTACACGCTGCGTCGCTGCATCAACCCCCAAGAAGTTAATTTGCCGGAGCCCTAAATTGCGCCATACCTGCAGAGACCTCTCAGTGGCAGCTACGCTCCCACCTACTTGGTCTGCGGGCATTCGTAAAATGTCTAGCTTGCACTTCTGGCCAACCACTCGGTACGCGATTACAATCTCAAAATTAGCTGCGCCAATGGTCTCGTCTTTCCTTGTACCCATGGTTTCTCCCCCCATGGAGCCACACCTACTGGCCCCCCCTGGCCATGGGATTCCAGACCACCGGGTCGCCTCTCCGACCAAGACAGGTGATCAAAAAGCAAAGAGCACTGTGGTCCAGAGATCTGGGATCCGGGGGTCCTGAAAAGCGGACCCGATAGGCCACTCCTCTCTCTCTCTCTCTCGATTGCAACCCAACGATTTCAAGGACATGGATGCCCGCCATACGGATCGGCAGGACCGGACGGAAAACAAGGGTAACTGCGATTCCCCAGCGGAGAGAGCCTGGTTCCGCGGCTGAATAAAGGCCGAAAATAAAGGAAAAAACCTTATCCCACTCGGGGAAAGCGCTAAATACTCCAGGAAACCGGTACGAATGCTACGTAGGAAGCTGACTTGCTAGTTTACAATTATGCTTTGTAGCAAGGGTATATGGCCTAAATACGAGTCTTGTGCTCAGCTGTGCCTCTCTGAGAGATTTTTTTTTTTTCTTCTTTCTTTTCCTCTTCACAAAAGGGGCAAGTAGGACCGGCCGAGGAGCACGACCCGATCCCCATCGTTGTCCTTGCGTCACTTACGTGCGTCCTTGATCGTGCCAAGCTCAACTAGACTTGCTCTGTGTGACACTATCCATCCAGGATGCGGCATATTCAGGATGAAAGAGGGGGGGGGGGACACATGCAAGTGATGGTTGATGGAGGACGCTGGGCATAAGATTACAATGTTGCACAAACTACTTGATCCCGATCCGAGGTGTTGCTTATATACCAAATCTTGATTCATTTGCATGAAGTATTTAAAATTTGTACAATGGTCTAATGTCAAGGAATTTGCCCGACCCAGTGGTATAGTCCTGTTTGCCCGCCCGATAATTTCCCTTGCCAAATTACAGAGTTCCCACGAATAAAAACGACACCTAATCATAGGTGTATAAATGGGTGTGACGTACGACAAGACGCGGGGCAGATGATTTACATGCCCGCCCGCTTGTCTGCTTGCATGCTCAGAGTGAGCAGCTCGTCGACAAAGGCGGATTCCTCGCTCTTTGCTTGACCTGCTGTTTTGTTCTCGCCCGTGGCGGTGGCAATGTAGGTGTTTTCTGACTTGCTCTGGTTGTCGGCTCGGGAGCGGAGAGGTTTCAGCTCTGAGCCCTGTTGTTGAGGAGCATGAGGGTCGTGTTCCCCTGCTCTTGTCTACAACGCCAGATTGTCAGTTGGAATAATTACAAGTTTCTGCTTAAACAGAATACCCGGAGCGAAGAGAAAGAGGGGGAAAAGGGGAGAAACCTCGGGGAGGAAGTGGAACGACGGCGACGTACCTCTTGAACATTGATCGACACTTCTTGTGATACCATGATACCGCCAAAGACATGGAACTGCTTGTCATGACTTTTGTTCCTGGGGACATACTTGGCGGCAGGGAGATGGCTGGGAGAGGAAAGCTTGAGGGATTCGTCGAAACTTCCGTCGTCGCCATTGTACAGGGAGCTGGGATGCGAGGCCACCTTGGACAACTGCTCCTGGCTCTTGGTGGGCGCTAGCGGGGACACAGTTGCGGCTCGACTTTGTCCTGGCATGTATCGTCTGAACCTGCCGAGGGCTCGGGAGAAGTAGCTACTGCTGCCGCCGGCCGGAGGTGCTGCGCTAAACTGGCTAGAAGACATGTCGTGCGCTGTTGACGACATGTCACGGTGGACCATGTGAGAAAACTCAATGTCGTGAGAAGGGCCCTCGTAGGTGAGCTGGCGCATCTTGAAGAAGTTGAGGGGCGTGAACTCGCACGTGTCCGAGAGGACGACGGCGTGGATGGGGAGGACGAGTTGGAAGGCGATGAGGGTGCACTTTGAGGGGGATTTGCTCCCGGCGGCGCGGGTGCAGGGCAGCTGGACTTCTTTGGGCAACAAGGTCGCCTCGTCAAAGGCTTCATCGCCGAGGGAGTCTCGCAGGGCGGAGATGGCATCTCGGAGGGCGACCAAAAACAGCGCCTCCTGGGGGGAGCTGGGCTTGTGGTTCTCCAGTTTGAGCAGTATAGTGGCAAGAGTCATGCCACGGATGGTGTTGAGGAACCCCGACTGCAGGGCGTCTAGTTGCTTGATGCGCAGGGGAACAGAAGGCAGCAGTTTTCTGGCCGTCTTCTGAGCGAGCACGTCGAAGCCGCCTCTGTGAAGACGAGCGCGGACAGCAAACATGCCCACATGGACGCCGGGGGCGAGTATGTTGGTCTTGTCCTTCTGCTTAGCCATGTTGCGTAGTCGAGCCTCCAGATCGGGCGTCTTGATCTGCATGCTGGACCGAATAGCGCCGGCAACCTGGTGGACTTCAGCAAATCTGTACCCGGCCGCTTCGAGTTTCTCAACATCTCGCTTGTTGTCAACCTTGCGGACGAGGAACATGAGGCAGCCGCGGCCGCATTCCTGGCCGTTGTTTTCGATCCCCTTTTCTGCCAGGCTGAACTTGTCCTGGAGCATCCTGTGCCGAGGACCAGGAGCCCTGAACGAGTCGCCAGTGACAAAGATTTCGTCCCACAGGGTTCCAACTCCCTTGAGAGTCTCTCTGGTCTTTGCGGCGAGAGCGCCGGCAGTCACGCAGAACAGCTCCCGCAGGATTATGTCGTAGTCTTCCACGAGCACGCCATCGTCTCCGACAAGTCTGACACCAGCTCTGCCAATGTGACGCTTCTGTGCGAGGAAAGCGATGTGGCTGGCCATCTTGCCCATGACTTTGGCAATAGTGTCCCAATTCCGAGAAGCACGGAACATCCAGTGGAATAGAGGGTGGCCAGTGCTGAAAAAGTCGTCGTTGGACTTGTGGTTGTGTTAGTCAGGGATGGACAAATGGTGTTTCCGAGACGAGAGAGACGATGAGATGGACAACTAAACTAACCTTTGGCAAGTATGTGTCTGTAACGACCTCACTGGGCAGGTAACCTTCTTGACTGACCATGATGCGGCCCTTGTCGTCAAAAACGCCAGCAGCCAGGACGACTTGCTGCGACTTGCTGGCGTAGTCTCGTCTTACCCAACCGGTGTAGGCGGCCATGCCGGTCATGACAATACCCGCAGCAATAGACTATTCCGCTCCAAGTCAGCATGGACTGGCTATCTTTCATAGGCGCTAACGTTCCCGGAATTCAAACTTACCAGGCAAATGACGACGACCATGGCATCCTGGCGGGATACGCCCTTGCCGTTGGTGTTCTTAATCAAAGTATATCGCGTCCCGACAGCCGCACACCAATGCATGCCCGACACTGCCCCGGCGAGAACCACGGCACAGCCCAGTCTCTTCCACCAGGCACTTTTCCACTTATTTTCAAAGACAAAGAAGAGTGCGAGGGCGACCAAACTAGCAAGGACCGAAATAACCACCGAGCCAACCAGATACGAGAGTTCATAAGAGGCGTTGTAGTTTCTGATGGAGGCATCGGCGAGGTAGTGCATGCCGGAAATGGCTCCTCCAGAGAGAAACCCGGCAAGCACGATTCGCCACCATCGAATTCGACCACTTCCACTGACGCCCAGGAATGCGAGGGTGAGCACGAAGATGGGGACCAGCAGAGACATGACGGTCAGGGCGGTAGAGTAGGAGATCTGGAAGGCTTCCTGGCCGTCAAGCATGTAAATAGCTCGATTGCCGATGAAGTGCTAAGTGAAAAACGTTAGTGATGAAGCTGGAGAGGGATTCGGTTTCAGAATATTGTAATGTACCATTGACCAAATCGCAATGCCGCCCATAGCAATAGCAGAGCCGATAAGTAACAATCTGTGCTCCAATGTCAGTAAAACCACTTGCAGTGAAGGACAAAAAAAAAGACTCAACACGCACAAGTTATGTCTTCCTCTATGAGATGTCCTCCTTCTGATCATCTCCAGACTGGTGCATGTGCCGACCAAGCTAATGGCGAAACTCAAGCACACAAACCCTCCATTGAAAGAATACGGCACCAACTTGCCCGTGTAGTCCTCCAGGAGCTGCTCAGTCGAATTCGTAGCCATGCTGTCGGGTTTCTCTCGTCTTGTCTCACTCTATTTCGGCCATCAACGACATAGAAGATGGCAAGGGAAGAGAGAGAATAAAGGTGGTGGTCAAGCCAGATGCATGTCCTAAACTCAAATTTAGACACGACCGGGACTTGGTCCGTAAGAGGACAACGACTTTCCGGTGTCTCATGAAACAAATGCTACAGTATTTATGTATTTGAGGGGGAAGGGGGGCCGGCCTACGGGGATGTGTGTCGGAGACGATGTAATATAATGATTGGTTAGGTACAAAGAACACGAAGGCTCGACTACCCGGCCGGGACCGTAGATTGCCTTGCATAGTACTAATCAACGGGGAAGGGCTATGAATTTAGTCGTCCGATGTGGTTCACACTTTTGTGCATCATCCGCGCGGCAATAGGCCGAGTTGAGGAGCATCCACAGTAACGCATAGGTCGCGCGAGTCGGCTCTTCCGATTCAAGGCGACAGACAGGACTGGAAAGCACATAAAGAGCTGAGTAAGTAGTATACAGGAAACTGACGATTTCTCTCTTTCTCGAGGGTTTGGGCCTCCAGGCCACAACGGTAAGTGTAGCGCCCACGAAACAGGCCAGACCAGGGGTTGAAAGCAGCCAACAGGAAACAGACCCAACCAACTGGAGTACATAGCCGTGAATGGTTCTCTACCGTAACAACGGTTTCCCCTGTCGCCCTCCACCAGTAGTGCCGGGGGTGGATCTGGGAGGGTTGCTGGGAGGCAAAGAGGGTCGAGAAGGTTTGCGAACTCTTGGGACGATCCGCCGCTGTTAGTCGTCTATTCCATCGCAGCTGGTAGCTCGTCCCTGGTAAACCGAGGCCCTGGTAACGAAACTAGGTAGGTGTGGCTGTCAAACCTTACCGACGATCGCTCCAGCTCACCCAGACAAGGCGAGAAGAGCCACAACTTGATCAAACCACTTTCTGGCGACCTGATCCAAGCCACGGGCCCTTGTTTACGCAAACACTCAGTATCTGGCGTATAAAAAATCGGACGAGTCTCCCAAAAGCGGGGAGGTGGGACGAGGGAAGTACATACAAAGTGCCTACAAGGCGAGTTCCAACCCAAGGCACACGGCCGAGTACAGGCAAGATGGCGTGTTCGTGCGGCTGAATCGGGTATAAAGAGCCTAGCTTGAAGCTGGATTCACGCCGCAAATTTAATAACACAAGAGGTGAAGGGGGGTTCAAAAGCAAATAACTTAAATCATGATTGGCCGCGGACGTTGCAGAAGTTGTGGCAACGCAGAAACAAAAGCAACTCTCGATTAATAAATGCCGCACCCTGCTTCTTTTTGCCTGACAACTCCGCTAAAACAATGCGGGTAAAAGAAGAAGAAAAAAACAAACAGGTAAAAAAAGTAAAAACCGTCATAACAAAGGCAAATGCTAGGTCTAGAGACTACCGTTCCCCAATATTGTTGAAGTGGGGGGGGGAATACAGCCTCAGGCACAGACACATGCACACCCACAGAGAGAGAGAGTGAGAGAGATCTTGAGAGTTCAATAGTTGAGGCTCGGATTCTGCAACAACCTGGCCATCTGGATCCAGCATCATTGTCCAGTATGGCGAGCGCCTGAGACGCCATCAGCCCAAGTTGAAAAAAAAAAAACGGCAGAAGATGGCTTCGACTCTACGACTCGTACAACAAGCAATTGTTGCTCAGTTGGGCTTAAGGACCGTGCAGTTGCATCCCGGCCACAAACGGTCCCCAAGTGTTAACGCCACGATTTGGCTTCGACCCTGTACGAGTCGAGGGCGTAGATTAAGCGTGTACAAGTGTGAGCCGATGATGACATAATTTTGCGCCGCGCAGGTCCCGTTCTGAAAGCTTGCAAGTTTTCCGTCGCCAGGTTTAGGTTGGGGAATGGATAGGCGAACCTTTTCCATTCCCTCCTCTCCCCTTCCTTTCCTTTTTTCGACAGCCAGTTTACTAATTACTATCTTGCCCCTTTTTTTTCTTTAGTGACAAGCCCGGGCCTCGGGTTTCTGGACAAACGAGAAATGCACCGAGTGATCAACTTGAAGGGTTCGTTGGTCCGCCTCAATACAACCTCGCATCGACGCCGGCCTGCCAGAATAGTAACTACCTAGGTAGGTAGATGCTGGTGTTAGCCGACGCCGGCTCCAAGTTTCCCTGCCATCCATGATACCCTTGGTCTTGAACAAGTGACCGTGTCTGAGGCTGAGTCGCAACTCGCCAAACAAACACCTTCTCTCGACGTCGTCAACGCCTAAGCGCGGATCGTCATGTGTCTGTCGCAGAATGTTCCTAATTGGTGTTACTCTCAGACCTCGGATTTCAAATAAGCTCCTGAGAGTCGGCTCCGTGCTCTGGACAATAGTTTCTCGGCAAACAGGCCACGGAGGTCTGCCCATCATTGCCGCTGGTCCATGGTCGAAGGCGTGTCCATTGTCACTATGGCCCAATAGTCCAGGTGAGTATACTTGACTAGTACCGGCCCAGTATTGTGTTGCCCATTGGCACAGACGACAGCGGCGAGATGGGGAGAAAGAGGACACAAAGTCGGCCTTCTTTTCCACTCCAAGTCAAGACTTAGGCCCGCGCAACTCCGGTTGCTTCGGCGTCGGTGCCAAGCTCCAGAAACTATTGAGCGCTGTATGTAGGGCAGATATATACTACTTCTCATGCTAGTATTTGTTCACGTCAGGAGGCAGAGTCCCGGCATTCTTTTCTGGCAGTAGTGCGTCCATACGCCTATGGCATGGTGCAGGATGAAAAAGGAAGTTTCAATATGACAAAAGCAACCCAGCAAGCAAAGGGCAATGTTTCAGCCGTATTATCGTGTGCCCCAGACTATCAATTGATAGTTTGGATGAGCATTCGCAGGCCGGGACAGACCGGGAGCATCACAACTTCGCTGCTCTATCGCTCTCTGCAACGAACTTGCCACGAAGCCCGTTGGCAGCCACGTTTTGCCATTTCATCACGACGCGAAGCATCATCAATTGTGGATAAGAGTCGACCCATGTAAGCTTTCTCGTGCTGTCGCCTACCCACGCCGTCGCCGCCTCTCAGCTGTCAGAATAATCCGACTCTAGCCCTTTTACACCAAAAGACGCCCCACCGTCTCCATCGATATGTCCATCAGTGTCCATCCGTCAAGCCATCCATGTATGAACGGTCTCTGCCTCGGGCTTGACTCGATCCTGCCCCCAGGCCCCCCAGTTTGGCAATATCAGGCCTAATGGAGCAATTCAGGCCCAGACATCACATCCAATACCGGCAATAACGGAAAATGGCCTGGCCATCGTCTTCTCACCGTGGACGAGCGCGTTGGGGTCCCACTGCCAGCACTCGACAACATCTGACTTGTTTCAAAGCCTTCCAAAACCACACTTGCGGCTGTAGAGCTCACAGACACGCACGGGCAGAAAACAATGTGAGTTGTCGCCTTTTTCCCCTTGCCCAGCCCATCTCCGCTTTCTTGTCGCCGGTCCGGGTCGTGGGTCTCACCTTATGGCACGGACTACCTGTGAGAGATGTGCCCGGTGTGTGTGTGTGTGTGTGTGTGTGTGTGTGTGTCTGTCTGTCTCAGACGGCTAGACTCTGGGGTATTGCATGAAGAAAGGGAGGCTAAGACACCCATCTACACGCTACGGCGTTGACCAAATTTGGCGAGCCTTTGACAACTGATGCTCATCACGGCTCTGCCAATCGTCAGCTAAGTCTCCGTGCCCGTCAAGGGAACCTAAGGGAAGCAAGGGGGGTGCCGAAGAAGATCGAGATGGATAGTCACGGCGCCCCCCCTTTCTTAGTCCAAGTTCCCGAGGCCATTTCTGTATTATACACGGAGTTGAGAAGAATTGGAGCCCGTCTATGCATGCACATCCCTATTCATATATATTGTCGTCTCCGTGTCACATCTCGGTTAATTCCAACGCCACTGTTCCACCTCGTATGGGATCTGTAAGTGATCAATTCCCACGTATCCGTGCTAGAATCTGTTTCTCTAGCATCTTTTTTTTCTTTCTTTTCGAACGCCGGATACATTATCCTTCTTTAGTCTTGTACTATCGTTTCACTCTAGTACAACACTTGTTGCCAATAACATCCCACACCAAACTCCAAGACCGAGATGATTAATACGCCACCTGCCAAACATTCGGACAAGATCGATTAATCCTTACACCTGCATATGTGGTCGACCTAGTTGAGAAAGAATCAACACGGGAAGAAATAGAGAAGAGAAAGGAAACAAGCAAATCGCCAGGCAAGCTTCAGCGAACACAACAACACCCCCCTAAGCCAGCATGAAGATCCTCTTCTTCTGTACGGCGCACAACTCGCTCTCGCAGCGGCTCTTCCTCGTTCTATCGCGGAAGCATTCCATCACCGTTGAATATGCCTTGTGTGCAGAGAAGATGATTGAGGCGGCCGATTTGGTCAAGCCACATCTCATCATCTGCCCCTTCCTCACGTCTCTGGTGCCGCAGCAGGTCTACGAGACGTATCTGACCCTCATTGTACACCCCGGGCCTCCGGGGGATGCCGGCCCAAGTGCCCTCGACTGGATGCTGATGGGTGACGACGGCACCGTGGCAGACAGTCAACAATTACTGCGCGATAACCGCTTCAACCCCGTAGGAAGAAGTCACTGGGGCGTCACCGTTCTGCAAGCCATTGCCGAGTTTGATAAAGGCCCCGTGTGGGCCTTTGATCAGTTCCCCGTCAACATCAATGACACCAGCACAACCAAGTCGAGCCTGTATAGGGGTCCAGTGACACAGGCTGCTGTTGCCGCAACGCTGGCTGCCATTGATAGAATCGAAGCCGCCGCGTCTTTGGCATCTACCCCCTTTGGAGCGCCTCTGTCGCCTCCTACAACTCCGAAGCCCGATGGTACCAGCTCGAGCGTGGCGGGAGACACCTCCCCCGGTCTCTCTGCAGACAAGGAGTTTGCACAACTGTCAGTCACCACGTCGGAGCCGTTCCTCGGCGGCAAAACACATCATAGGCCGCTCCTCAAGGCATCGGACAGACACTTTGACATCAGGAAGCACACCGCCTCGACGATATCTCGAAGGATCCGCAGTGCCGACTCCCAGCCCGGCTGTCTGAGCGACCTGTTTGGCCCCAAGCTCTATCTGTACGGTGGCATCATTGAGAACCCGACCCTGCTCTCCTCCAACAGAGGTCACATTGCACCGGGCAGCATCATTGCCGTCCGGGACGAGGCAGTCTGCGTTGCCACCTGTGACAACAAAGGCATCTGGATCACACACGTGAGACGAGTCAAGACCAAGACGGACGCTGCGTTGTGGCCAAAGGTCCCTGCCGCGTTGGGCCTCAAGCAGCTTGGTGTTTCTACCGGCAGCCCGTCGACATGGTTCCATTCGCTGCTCCCCCAGACACAGTCGGAGGAGTGGGCAAAGTCGTACCACGACACCTTCCAGGAGATTTGGGTAGACTTCGTGACCGATGGCCACAAACGGCTTGCCTATTTGTACTTTGACTTTTACAACGGCGCCATGAGCACAGAACAGTGCAGGCGCATGGTCCGGTGTCTCGAGTACATCCTATCCACGGCCACGGGCCCGAACCAGAGCCTGCCCCTGGCGGCCGTGGTGCTCATGGGCGGCAGCTCGTACTTCAGCAACGGCATCCATCTCAATGTCATCGAGTCGGCTGCTGACCCTGCGCTGGAGTCGTGGTACAACATCAACGCCATCGACGACGTTGTCGAGAAGCTGCTCCTGGACCTGCCCGCCCGTGGCGTCACCACAATCTCGGCCATCAGGGGCAACTGCGCCGCTGGCGGCGTCGCGCTGGCGGCCGCCTGCGATGTCGTCGTAGCGGGAGAGCACGCCGTGTTGAATCCGGCGTACAGGGCGCTGGGATTGTACGGGTCTGAGCTGCACAGCGTCAGCTACCTCGGACGCTGCGGCGCCGAGGGAGCCAAGACGGCTCTGCGGTCCATGACGCCACTGAGCGCAGACGACGCCCAAGGCATGGGTCTCGTCGACCACGTCCTGCGCGTGGCCCCCGAGGCTCTCGACTCCGCTGTGCGAGCTCACGTCGAGGGCCTGTTCCCTCGCGGCGGCAAGCGTGGCCTGGCGCCGTCGGCCAAGGCCGGCTCTTGGAAGCGCAACGTGGACACGTCTCCAGCGGGCTTGGCCCTCGCCCGCGCGGCTGAGCTGGGCCAGATGTCGATGGACTTTTGGAGTGCCCGCTCCGAGAGGTACCACTCTCGCCGGAGGGACTTTGTGCGCAAGGTGAGGCCGTCGTCGACGCCGCTGCGGTTTGCGACGCACCGAAGGGAGAAGGGCATGATGGATGAAGAAGAGCAGGACACGTTCGACTCGGTCGAGTGGTTTGTGGAGAAGACCATGTGCAGTCTGAGGAAGGACATTTCAGACAGAATGGTTCGGTTGATCAAGGACTTTTCCAGCGGTGGTGAGAATTGCGAGAGAAGCCAAAAACGGAATGGCGCTGTGAAGGTTGTGGCCAGCACGACGTTGTTTGGCTGCTATTATAATCCCTAATGAGAGCTGCCCCAGACTACCAGGACCGGTTCGCGTATTTTTTTAGAATTGTTGCTTTATTATTAGCCTAATGATACCTCCGCTTTGTTTGCTTGCTTGTCAATCCATGTCTTGTCTTGTCTTGTCTTGGAAAAATACCTGGTAGATGGCTTTATAGTTTCAATGTCTGGCATTCTGCGTTGATAACATTCAACCTTCATGATTACCACTTGCCGCAGTCCTCTTGGTTATAGGGTAGGGAACTGGTCTGGCGCCCCACCGCATCATGAAGACCTAGTACTTCCAAGTTCGAGCTACAATGTGACACCAGCTCTTGTCAGGCCCCAATTCACATCCCATCTTCCTCACGATCAAAACATTACCGCCAGCGAAAAAAAAAGGAACCAAAAGAAAAAGGGACCATGGCGCCGCGCCCAAGCGCCGATCCCGCACCAGCCACAGCAAACGGCGACTCTCCTCCCGCCAGAATCGGCCCTCACCCCGGCTTCATCTCCAGCTCGAACCAATACAGCTCCGAAATCAAGATCCGCCGCATGCTCAAGGACAATGGCTGCGATCCCGCGCGAGAGGACAACTACCGCCTCCAGGGCGTCCAGCTGATCAACAACGTGAGGGAAAATCTGCAGCTGTGCGATCCCATCTTCCCCCCCTTCCTTTTCTGTCTGATGATGTGCCCGTGCCTGGGCTGACAAGCAACCTCGCAGGCCCGTTCGGACGTTTGATACAGCATGCACCTACTACCACAAGTTTCGGTTAAACTTTCGCGACGCCGAGTACAGCCACCAAGATGCCGCTCTGGCGTCGTTGTTCGTCGCGTGTAAAGTCGAAGACACCATCAAAAAGTCCAAGGACATTCTAGCCGCCGCGTACAATGTCAAGAACCCCGAAAAGACGGTCGCCCCCGACGACAAGGTACGTGTGCTCCGCGGAAAACGGCCGACGAAAACCTCCCTCGGGGGGGTTTGGCGGGGAGGAGGCTAACGGGGAGGACGCAGATGTTCGAAGCGCCCGGGAAAATCATCATTGGGCTGGAGCGCTTCATCCTCGAGACGATAGGCTTCGACTTCCGCACGCGGTACCCGCAGAAGCTGCTCGTCAAGGTGGTGCGGCGCGCGCTGGGCAAGTCGTCGGCCAACTCGCGCGACTTCTTCGCCACCGCGTACGACATGTGCATCGACATGTACAAGACGTTTGTGCCCATCAAGCAGACCACCTTCTCCATGGTCATGGCCGTCGTGGAGCTGACGGCGCGCATGCGCGGCGAGCACCTCGAGCGCGTGCAGGACTTCGCCGCCGGCAGGAAGCAGTACAGCCGGGACGCCGTCATGGAGACCATGCTCGACCTGCTCGACCTGTACGTGCAGCACCACAAGTCGACCAGGATCGGCGCCCGCTTCGACCTCGGCAAGTTCATCGACATCAAGATCCGGCTCAACACCGACCTGGACAGCACCGCCAAGCCGAGGTACCTGTACCACTGCCACAGGTGCGAGGTTGAGGAGGCGCACCCGCTCTCGTCGACGACGGCGTCGGCTACGGACCCGACGACGGCGTCGAACCCCTGGCCGGCGGATGCGTCGATCCGGCGGACGGCGCGCGGTCAGGACGGCACGATGCGCTTCGTGTTTGACCCCGAGGCGGCCAAGGACGAGCAGGAGACGGTTAGTCAGTTCTTCAAGGATGAGTATGAAGAGTACGAGGTGGAAGTCGAGGAGCCTGTCCCGCCGCCAGACAGAGACGAGGCGCCGCGTGGGAGGGGAGGATACCGCGGCGGCTACAGAGATAGGGGGGATCATAGGCGCGGCGGACCGTATGGCGCATATCGTGGAGATAGGTATCATTGGGGACGGGGGCGATATCACTAATGAGTACACGGCATAGGGTCAAGTGTGACATGTCGGATGCCGTATCACGAGTGGAAAATGATCGCTGTCAATACATGTGTTTCCTCCATGCGTGTATGATCCTCCCCAAATACGTGTATACAAATCGCCACATAACCAAGCGCTTCGTCAGCAAAGGAAAAATGATATCACGGGAATAGCCTCGCTCTCCAATGCACCGCCGTCCCGTCCTCTACCTCTTCCCGTCTTCCGTGTCGAGCACCAAATCCTCGCCCCTGGGCCCCGAAGACTTCAAACCCTCCAAGACCTCCCCATCACCACTCCCGTCGCCGTCGCCGTCATCCAACCGCTCCACGCTCAAATCCTCCTCGCCCTTGCCGCCCTCCACGTCCGCAGTCCCTCTCCAGTCGGCGGCCGCAACCTGCGGCACCGGCTCCCCTTCCCCAGGCTCGACAATCTCCTCGCCCCCCTTGTCGCCATCGCCAGCCACCTTCCACACGACGCTCATCTTTTCCAGCGCCCTCGATCCCTTCCAGGGGAAGCCCTTGATGCCGTCCATGGCCTCCCACTCTATCGTGAAGGCGCCGCTCTCGTCTGCCTTTTCCGCCCCCTGCTCGGGGCCCCGGCCCTCAAAGAATGTGTTGAACCACACGTGCGCCACGGACGACACCACAGTCCAGCTCAAGCTCTTGTGCGTCCGGGTCCGTTGCTTCACGGCGATATTCACATCGCTGTTCGGTATGCGAATCGGCCGCGCCGGTCTAAACACCACCGCCATCCCGCCCGGCTGCTCCCCGTCAAGGACACTGTTGCTGCGGCTAGCACTGCTGCTTCTGCTGCTGCCCGTCTTGGATTTCGTCTTGTCGATGCCGTCCCCAACACCACCACCAGCCGACTGCCCCTTCTGCGCCGGCCCCGTCTCCCTGCCCGCCGGCTCGTGCCTCGTCTTGTCCCCCGGGCCACCCGAACCGCCCGCCTCACCAGCAGTATGCTTCCGCTCGACGCCCGCCTCGTCAGCCGATTCCGCCTGCTGGGAGCCCTTGTCCGCCGGGTATCCCACCAGGCCCAAGAGCGTGTCGACCAGCCCGCTCCTCGGCGGCTCGCCCGCCTCCACAACCACCCTCTCCTCGGGGCCGAACTTGTGAAACTTTTGCATCCTCTTGCCCTCCTCCACGAAGCCGCTCACGACGACGTCGACGCCGGCCCGCAGGCCCCATACCTGGACCTCGACAATCTCCACCGGCCTGTCGACGTACTGCTTGCCGTGGTCCTTCCAGCGGTCGACGTAGCCCACCCACCGCAGCTGCGAGGGTATCGAGACGCCCGGCCCGAAGCCCTCCTTCATGCGCCGCTTGGTGAAGTGGTCGAGCGCCTTTTGCGCCGCCCAGCCCTCCTCCGAGATGAGGTAGCTGCACGAAATGGTCCCCGAGCGGCCCTTGCCGGCCTTGCAGTGAATGACGACGACTCTCTTGCCGTGATTCTCCGACGACGACGGCCCCCCATGCAGGGCACCGCCGTGCAGCCAGTTCCTCATGCTCGCCATGATCGGGGGCACCAGGCGAAACGGCGGGGGGTGGTGGTCCGGCCACGGGTAGTGGCATACTCTCCCGAAGACAGCTTCGTCGGGGTACCCCGTGCCTTCGGCGCGAAACTCCCATATCGCCCAGTCGTCGCCGTGCTTGGCCGTCAGCCAGGCCTTGAGCTTGTCGAGGGGGTTGCGGTACGCCCGCTGCGGCCACGTCTGGGAGGGGCCGGACCTACATTTTTCATCGTGTCAGCCGCGGCCTGGGGGGGAAAGGTCATACAAACTTTTGTTGAAGAAAAAAAAAGAAAAAAAAAAGAAACCAAATGTCACGATACGACAGTGAAAAACAGTGTATAAGAGAATGAACGAGAGGGGTGAGACGCACGTAACTATTATGGAGTCGGTGACATAGCACAGGTCCAGCTTTGCCTCGGGGTGTCTCACCCTTGGCCCAGCGACAATCTGTCGTAGAGCCGAGGTCATGGTGTTTTTTTTATGTGACCTTTTTGCTGCAGGGTACGAAAGTCGGGCCAGAGGTTGGCCAGAGATCTTCTAAGATCCGAGTTGTGCCGTTTGGACGACGGGCTGTGAGGCTGAAGCTGCTCGGGGGGGTTGGCAAGACAGGGGATTGATGACGAAATGGACGAATGACAGCAGCAAGAGCAAATTGATGGGCAACTGATGCTGTTATGGAGCGTACATATAAACGGCCGGTTCCCCGCAATATCTGCCCATGTATTTAGGGTCTGGGGTAAAACAAGAAAGAGTTGATGAATCGAATCGCTGCCTGCCTAGGTTCTCAAGTGAATTTGGTCATTGGGCAACGGGACATCCGCAGCTTTAATCAAGTGGTGCGTCGTGGTGGCTTAATGACACCGTCACCCGCCTACGCGCATACCAAGCACCACCAGTCCCTGTTTTGCCCTGTTATACTTTGACCGCCGCCATGTCCACGTTTCAATCTTGTGGCCGCTCGGTGTAGAAATGTGGGTGCACATCCTTTTGTCCCACCGTCCGCACCGACGTCATCAATGTCATCGTCACAGCTCTACACAATCCTCTCCGCCATCACATGGCATCAAGCATAACCGTTCAAACAGACTGTGTATACGTAGTATAGACAAAAAAAACCAAAACAACAAACAAAATTGGAAGCGCAAAGTCTTCCTGAACAAAACAATGACCCACCAGCCACTTTGAACACCAGAGTCCATTGAATATGAATACTCCAACCACACTCCAATTCTTGTCTTTGGCTCACCACCTTTCCTCCTCTGCTACATATTTGCCCATACTTCGTAACAATGATGAGAGCCGTCTGTATCGTATCTTCTGCCACACTACTTCTTTTTTATGAGGAGCCCGCCGCTCGTCAACCCCTGACTGTCTGCTTCCCCTCATCGTAAATCACCCGTACAAACAGAAAAGTCTGCACCATGACAATAATTTCCAACCCATGACCTACGAACCATTTCAGCCGGCGAGCTCGAGCAGGCCAAAAGCCATTCCTGGTCCCAATGCACCCAAGATGCAGTCAAGTGACTACACACCTTTCACGTATTACAAGAAGAATTCCCGAGGCCTCTGCAAACTGAAACACGACACAGCCTGCATAACCCTTTTGTGCCATTTGCTACAGATTTCCGAGGTCGCTTACGAGGTCTTCTTGGCAGGGGCAGAACCCTGAGTGTACTTGCTGACTTCAGTAGCATCGCGGAACTGTCGACCGACATTCTTGACATTGTCCCAGACTTGACGGGCAGCGGGAGGAGTGCCCTGAGCACCAACCAGAGAGTCGATTCTAGCGACCAGTTGCGACATGGAGTGCTGAACGTGGGTGCTCTGTGAGTAGCGAGCTCGGAGGAAAGCAGTGTATAGAGTAATCAAGATCCAAGAGCGGCGCTGGAAGAGAATGGCCGAGAGCAAGATGCGGACCCAGAGCAGAATCTCCAGTCCAGAGACAATGGACATGGAGGCGTCGTAGTACTCCTTGACAAAGGCACCGATTCTATCAGCCAGAGGATTGCTGACGCGCTGGGGAGAGGCACCATCGGCGGCAGGAGGAGGAGGCTGGAGGACAGGGATCAAGTTGGCGCGGGTGTAGGTGGCGACGTGGAAGATTGAGTAAACGCAGTAAGGGAGGAGCGCAAGCGGGTACTGAGGAGAGGAGAGCCAGACGAGGGCCATAACTATGAGCCACCATTCATGTTAGCAAGCATCCTAGCCGTGGTATAAAGATGCCGGCAAATGATTGTGTGCTGTGTGCACCGGGGAACCAAAAGTCGCGATTCAGATTCACTGGGAAAACGTACGCAAATACTGGATGTTCTCATCGGACAAGAGACCAACGACGCCACCGGGCATCTTGTTACCGGTCTTGGCTCGAGCTCGCTGGGTCTTGTAAACGACAATGCCGTAAGTAACAGCGGCAGCAAGAAAAGAAGTACGGTAGGAGAACTTGGCCATGCCACCGTAGTAGTTCATGCGCAGCCAGGAGAACCCATATCGAATGGTGGTCAGAATGAGCGTCATATGCCTGCACGAGAAGACAACGAGTCAGCTTCACTTTCTGCCCAGGTCACCGTTTGAACTTGGCCAAATTGACAAGGTCCATGAAGTGCCCAGAGATTGCAGTGCAACATCGAGTCGGCCGTTGGGCAGCTTGTGACACGACAACCAAGAAAGGTGGGCGTAGCAAAGTGGCAACAGCGAGGGGGAGTCGAGCCGACTCGACGTGAAGGCGCAGGTGAGGTGTTTTCATACCCAACAAACCAGGCAACTGTATCGATCCAGGTCAGCAAGCTTTGAATCTTGGCGGCAGCCATTGATCACGACATGGCTTGAGAAGAACAGCGGCGGGGATGGTCTGGGCAGGCTTTGGAGAACGTACATTGCAGCGTCTTGGCCAGCTGCAGCAGCCTCTCCTGCAGAGGCTGGCTTGAATTGGGCGGAGGGGGTGCCATGCTGGTATTCCGGACGGTTGCTGGAAAATATCGATTGCAAACAAAGTATGTAGCTGTGGCGGGTGAAGCTGGGGTCGTCGGTTTGGCGGGTTGGAGAAAAAAAGGCTGGCGTTGTGTGCGGCCGACGAAGAGTTGTGCGGTCTGAAGAGCCAAGGTCAAGGTGGTCAAAGTGGCCAAGGCCAAGTCTCAGCTGTGCTGGCGTCGACAAACCAAGCGGGCCGGTGGTGGGTGGGACGGAGCTCGACCGTGTCGTAATGGTCCGACGTTGACGCTGCTAAGACACACAACGGAGAAATGGGGGTCCAGTCGGGCGTTCACTGGGGTAGCAGCCGATGCAGCAGCAATACTCCCTAGGGGAAAGAAGACGAAGAAAAAAAATATGTCAGGGACAAGAATTACAATGACAAGCCCGTTGCTTGTCGGAGGAACAACATAATCAATGCGGGAAATAAGCCAGAGACTTGAGGAGAAAATGGAAGGAAGGGAGCACTTGAAGGACTGGGCCAGGCAAACAGCCGCCAGCATTCGGCTGCATCTGACTGGCCGACTTTGAGGCCAGCGAAGTGGCGAGGCGGCAAGGCGGTCACTGAATTTGGAGCAGCGACGAGGCACAGCTGGCAAGAACACCAGACGTCTTGCGCCGAGGTGGCTGGGCCGCCGTCCGTATTCTATGCGGAGAAATTCAGCAGCAAAGGTGCCGAGCTTCACGTTGACCTGTTCGCCTGGGACAGGCCCCAGCTTGCAGACGGCCAATTGGTCTGGTGTCAGGTGCTTTCGCTTTCCCAAAGCTTTGCTAATATATATTCACGTCCTACCAGACCTCTTCTTCTCGCAACATCCCACGCCGGCGTCCATCCAGCGCCAAAGCAGTTATCCCAGTGACACTCTGCATCGTACATCATATGTACTCCGTCACTGCCTGTGATCCACCAGTCCACGCATCAAGCTGCGAGGTGGAACCTGGAGCTGCCTGCAATCACTCCAGATCTCCAAAAAAATCCCTGACGCAACCACGGGAGTTCATCCTCGGCCCACAGCAGCAACAGCTATCCTTGGACCAAAAACGTTCGGCCAGTTCAGCCGCTGATGACACCTGGAACACACGAATCTCGACGCCACTGAACAAGCAGCACCATCATTGACTTTTGGCGCCGGCTCATCAACGTCGAACCGGTGCGAACTGGTGTACTGTGCAATCTTGGAATCCATCTCGAAGAGTACCTAGGGTAGTTAGACTTTCCAGCTATCTATGCTCTGCCTTCTTTTTCAATTTAATTTGATTGACCGTCTCGAGGCCAGATCTTTCGTCCTTGTCACGACAAAACTTGAGGGCAGTCTTCACAATTCTCTCGGCCATGACATTTCCTGTAGGCATCGTCTCCTCGCCATCCCAGGTAGTCGCCTCGCCTGACCAGATCCGACACCACGTAGTTGCCTAGTGGACAAAAGCATTCTGGCACCAATAGATTTCTCGCTTGCACTTGTCATCATCCTGGTTTATTCGTCACCATCTAATTCGCCCATATCCTAAGTGTCATGTCGACACTCCCCGTTGCAATAACACATCGCATCTGCTCATCCGAGGCCCCGGCCGGCCCTACACTCTTTTTCAAACCCCCATCGTTTTCCGATCCTTGCTCTTGCGTACCGTTCCCATTTACAGACCCGCCGTCCTTTAGGATACTCGGTGCCCATCGTAGGCATGTCACAAAATGTGTGTGAGCTTCGTCCAGTACCTTGACACACTTGCCTTCCTGGCTCAAGTCCCAGCATCGTATTGTCTTATCGTCCGCACACGAGAGCAGATACTTGCCGCCAGGGTGGAAAACAAGCGATGACACCCAGTTGTCGTGTCCCACAAGCGTCTTGAAGCAGATGCCTCGTCCGTCCCATAATTTGATAGTCTTGTCGCGGGAGCCCGTAGCCAGGAATTCCGCCGAGCTGGTGGCGGGCGGTGCCTTCTTCAGACCGGCCATGGAGGCCAAGTGAACATATGCTGATGGCGGCGCAAATGTGCAACAGCCAACAGCGTTTTCGTGTCCAATGAGCGTTACTTTATTCTCTGGGTTAGGGACAGAGATATCCCAGAGCCGTGCAGTATGATCACTACCAGCCGATATGATGAACTGTCCGTCCCCTGACGGGCAAACATCTCGCACCCAATCAACGTGGCCTCGTAGGGCCTTCAAGCAGTAGCCAGTTGCCGTGTCCCATATTCTCAAAGTCTTGTCTGCGCTAGCACTGACCAGCAAGTTTGCAGAGGACTGCGAGCCCCCTGAGCCAGATGATATAAACCGAACCGCGCTAACGCTGTGGTCGTGGCCCGACAATGTTCGAATATTCTTGTATTGATCTGACGGGTCCCACAGTTTGATAGTGAGATCTGAGCTGCATGATGCCAATAACGTAGCACCTCGAGGCCCGCCGTAATCAAGACCCTTGACGGCACGCGTGTGGCCTTTGATTGTTTGTTCCAGTTCGCCCAGTTCCCAATCCCAGATCTTGATTGTGCAATCGTCGGATCCAGAGGCAATCGATGAGAATCTTGGGTGGAAAGCAATACAGTTGATCATCCCTCGGTGACTCTCCAGCGTATGTCTCGATGGTTTTCTAGGCAACCATGATGTGGGATCTTGGTTTCGCTTCGACAGGGAGCTCGGTGTGGCGTTATCGAGTTCAGACTGCAGCGATGCGTTTCGTGACTCGAGATCCATGATCTAGCGAAGGGATCGCCTGGGTCAGATAACTGCCGAAAAAAAATTCGAGCCTAGCCAAAGAAACGAGATTCTGTATCCAATACACACCTTCTTCTGCAGTCGCACAATACTAGTCCACTTCTTCTCGAGGAGCGTTTCATACTTCTTTTCGGTGGCTTTATCGAATACATCTTCCCCAAGGCCAACCTCTTCTCGCAGAGCAGCGGCTGATTTTGGCAAGTTATTCGCCGACAGGTAGGCTATGATGGATTTGTGCCTGGAGGTTCCCGCATCAGTCTCGAGCCCACCCCAGTGCCGCGTTGCCTGTATCGGAGATGTCGCCAATGTCTGGTGATACTCACAGCTCCTCGGCCTGTCGAGTCGGCAATGTGCGACTCATTGTGCCTGCACCAAAATTATGACTCCGGGGGGCTGGCCTCGTAGCCACACCCTCTATGGCACACAACTACCGTTGCAGTAAAGAAATGGTGGTTCGTAGGATGGCAATGGTCGAGGTTGAGCAAGAGGCGGTCGGAGGCATGGATGGCTGTGTGGGCTGGTGGGTTGGTCTCTGCTGGTCAGAATGTGGCTCGTCAGCCCAATTCGCAGTGGCGAGCCTCTCAACTAAGGTATATTTGCGCGCCCAGCCCGTGTATATGTAGCAATAAACCTAGGTCTCGCAGCTCGTCATTCAACAATGAAACTAAGCTTGTTGCGCTGTGTGAAGCTTCCACTTGGGCTCGCCCCAAATGGTGGGGTTCAAAGCGGCGTCGTCGTCCGTAGCCGCCCACCATCCCAAAACATCACGTGTAAGGGGGGAAGGCACTACCCTAGCGATCCCCTGGCCCAAACCCGCTTCACTTCATCAATTCAGGGCCATGAACAACAATTGCCGGAGCTCTCCTTCGTACTATAACAATAATATTATCTTGCTGGGCGTACGAGCCCTTTTTCGATCTTTTTCGTCTAGGTCCACAACCCTGGATTCTGTTCTACACCTCTTATGGCGTTAAGTTTGGTGACAAAAATGCTGAAGTCGTATTGTCTGTCTAAACGCTTCGCACTCGTTAATGACTGTGATGTCATTGGGTAAAGTTAGGGAGTCGGGGCATCTGGCGACGACCAACTGCCTTTTCTTCCGTTTGGTTACGCACCCCAAACGGTTCAAGCTACATCGTTCCTATGTCAGTGATGTATGCGTGTTTGAAACCGGAGCTATTGCCATCGGGAGAAGAGAACTTGTTGTAATCCATACAGAACGAATAAGTGGATAGATAGCGAAGGTCAGGTAAAAAAAAAAAAAAAAAAAAAAAAAAACACTTGAAGCTGCGGCATTCATCACTATCTTCATAATCGCATTTTTCAAGCTGATTTTTATTTTCATATACATGGTATTCGTGTTGTTGATCATTGTAAGTGTCCTAACTATGACCAACTCAGAAATGACTGTAGCAATTTCTAGGGAGCTAGCGGATTTGGTAGAGAAATGCCATTGGACCAGTCGAGAGATGATACAACCCGAGGTCTGGAACGAGATTCGAGATCTCAGTCTGTAATGGCTCCGAACAACCATACAACTGGCTCAGAGCCTGTCCTCTTCAAGGGAAGAGTGTTCGAAATCATCTGCAATGGCCTAGTCGTTGCTGAGTTGGAATTCGAGCCCGTCTGGTAGAACAACTTGAGCGTGTCAAGGGCGACACGAAGACAGCTTTTGCTTATCAGTGTATCGAACTTGTTCTTCCAGGATGTGATACACATTTAGGTAAGAGAAGTGAGCTCCTACAGAGCCAGCGGATTGCTATTGCATGACATAATTTCGCAGCCGAAGATTCTGCTTGTCAACGAGACGACCAGTGCTTTGGCGCCGCAGCATCGTGCGAAGGCCTAAGACGAAGCTTCAAAAGACAGTTATACGGAAAAACAACATAAGTCATGATAAGTCTCCATCTGTTGGAGGCCTCCAGACAACCGATTTAGTCATGAAGCAGGAATGATCATTGACGGTCACCTCGTCAGTGTCAGTGCGGTGTCTCCCAACATCTTCAAGGCTCAGAACCTATCACCACAGAGCCTAGGCTCCTCAAGATCGTCGGATAGTTCAGATTAAAAAGACAAGAATTTCCCAGAAGCTATTAAGAAACTGATGAGAGCGACAAGAGGGGAGACGATTGAGATAAGCGCTGTTGACCCTTAGGGATCGAAAAGTTTATGCGCTGCATCACGGTATATGACTATTTACAACCGTACTCAAACCAATTGAGGCTACAATGAAAAATATATGGTCAAGTTATTATGGTCAACCACTTACAGGTTAGAGTTGGATACGAACGGGTGACTTAGCTGGGATTTACTTTGGGCCAAGCACCTCTCTTGTGCAAAGCTCTTGACTTGCCAAAGAGTTCGAGACTTTAAAGCCCTTAAAGACCCGACGACTTTACAAATCTCATGTCTTTGTCATGGTTCCTGGACTTGAAGTTAAGCCTCTGGGGGCTGGACTATGAGCGCAATTGCCCAAGCAAGTCCACGGAACCAAACAGATTCATATCTAGAAGAGTTACCAACACACTGAATGTCGACATTGAGTCAAATGATTGGAGCCTACATGTTCAAGATCCCTTCCTATTGAGTCCTGAGATATCTTCAATCGTCCCCAGAACATAGTCGGCTAACTCACCATCCGAACCGACTCGTATTCCTGCTCCGTATTCGAGCTTATCAGTCTCAACCTTGCTACCGAGTTGGAAAGGATCGTCCAGAGGGCCCGAATGAAGGAGGCGTTAGTTGACACAAGGATAAATGTCATGTTTATGCCCATGCTGTCCAAGGTTCATTGTTACAGATGGGATATTTGTATTCTTTGGAGGCCGCATTCTGCAGGCTAGGCCACACAATGAGCTTGTTGCTCATGGGTGAATGTACAAAAAAATACGTGAGATTCAGAGCCCAGACCCTGCGCTTAAATATTCCGCCTTGTTGTGACCACCTTAAATTCGTAATATAGCTAGCCACTGAAGTGATATTGGAGGTAATTTGTTACACGAGAATTCTTCGTCGTTCATGGACTGGACCTGGCTGAACAGCTCGTTTGCATGCGTCTATGGAATGTCTGGGTTTTCACTGTACGGTTAGAAGGGTAGAATTATGTGCCTGGCAAAAAGGAATAGTAAAAAATTTGAATAACCGGCCGTTATTTCTGGATTTGAGATGATGACGGTTATGACGGTCCGGTTCTGCAGTCTAGAACACTGCTTTTTTTTGTTCATCATGCTCAAGAACACAGCCTTACAGACTTTCCCCTCAGTAAAGCTGTCAAAATTTGAGTTTAGCCCAGTTTCAAAAGCCTTGCGGCATTTCGCGTATGTGAACTGGTCCATCTTTGAAGTGGCAATTGAGGCTGAGCCCAGCGATGAAACTGTTACCATCTGAATGAGACCGCCATACACAATGCTATGTCATGGATGAATATACGAGTATACTGCGGACACAGAACTATCGTAGCCAATTGCCTGCCTCATGTTTCGCCACTCTACCTGAACAATTGCGACAACCTTCGCGATTATAGGCCTGCTTACCACCACTAGCTACACCATGTCGGGAAATGAAACCAGCGACTGTTGATCAGGACGTTCTTGATCCTCTTGGGCCTCATGCGCATCAAAAGCTTGAACGAACTTGGCAACAAGAGTAGGATGAAACGTGGGGTGGTGGTTTGTGCAAATTTGAACCCCTTCCGCCTTATGTGGAATTGGCCTCGAACCATGGAGTTGTGTACCGGGACCAAGTAAACATCATCAAGAGATGATGCTACTTTGGCTGTAACAAGCCACGCGACACTTGGACGTCATCCGAACTGTGATGGGCCTCCCGTTGGACATTGCCAGAAGGCGGATAGTCTGAATCAAGCCTCGTGTTTGGGAGTTGTTTCGCAACCCTTGCCAAGTGCAGATCAAGAGATTTATGCCAAGGCATGTCAAGGCATGCCAAGAGATGAGATCGTCTGAAAATAGATCAATTCAAAATATTCAAACTAGTTTTGTCATGTTCTGGCGGCTCATATACAACTCCGACTATAATCTTCAGCTGTGTTTGCGCAGCCTTGATCAGACAGCACTTTTGGCCTGGAAGTACGTGGGCAGGCGGGAGGCCATGGCCCAACTTTTGTCAAGCAAGTCGCTGGCTTGACAAGTGTGTATTTGGAATGAGGTATTATTTTTTTCACGTACAAGCCAGGAACCTGCGACCCCAGCCAGCCCTGGACACGAGCCGTCGCAGCCGTGCCGACTACCGTGCAGTTCTGCAAACTACATCTTTCTGTGTAGCCAGGTTGTGAGCTTTACGGTTTTCGGATCCAGGAGTTACCGGACTAGAGACCGAAACAACTCTTCAAGATGTGATGAAAATCGGCCGCTCTTGGTCGCAGCGATTACGCCACAGGCGCCTTGGTTGTAGACTTCCCTGTGATGGTGCCCCAGCTCTTCGCATCTCCCGTTACATGTCTTAGTTTCATCTCGTGTTGTCGTCGCATCATCGATGCGATAGTGCCAAGCAGCCTTTGCTGGCTTGCAGGTTTTGTTAGACGAGTATAAATAACATGCCCAATCCCACTCTCAAGTCGCATGTTGGAAGCATCAGCCCACACACAACTACAGTCATTTCTTCAAAGACAACTCAACTTATTTAATAACATATTTCTTCTTGTTGACGCAATGAAGCTCACTTTCGCTACCGTTCTTCTTCCTTCCCTCCTTCACAGCGCTCTGGCAGCGCCTTCCAACGTTGAGCGGGACCTCAACGCAGAGCAACATGATCTCGCAGAGAGAGATTTTGATATGAGGGATGCAATCCCTCTACAAAAAGACAACGAGAACATCGGAGACGTCGCCAATAATGCCAATGCCAATGGCCAAGCTGCGACCCAGGTAGCTGCCGTGAGTGCTACTCAGACCGCCGGCGCCGGCACCGCCCAGAACCCGGCAGCGGTAGAGAATGGGGCGGCCAAGAAGAAGGGGAAGGGAAAGGGAAAGGCAAAAGCTAAAGGCAAGGGGAAGGGCAAGGGCAAGGGCAAGGGCAAGGGCAAGGGCAAGGGCAAAGGAAAGGGTAAAGGAAAAGGCAAAGGACAGGGTAATGCACAGGGTAACGGGGCGGCCGCAAAGGGAGCAAACTAGGCACCAAACCTTGACGTTGCTGGCTGGTCCTGCAATATAGCGTGTTCGTGTCTCAGGCGAGAAAATTGGAATAAATGAAAGCTCTCGGGCATATTGCTGGTCATCATCTACAATGGAGCAAAAATTTGTGTGACACGATGCTCAAAGTAAATGGGAGCACAGGGGGCAGGGAAAGCTGATATATACCGAATGGTTGGCTTCGTTCTCTTTTAAGACATGACCGTATGTTTTCGCAATTATGACATGGGCCATTTGACCGTCTTGCTAACAGTAAAAGAGTACAGTCAGATTAGCGTCCAATTATTGGTCCGTAGCAAGATCAGGAAGTCGTCTTCTGAGACTAGAAACTCTTGGCTTATCTCTGGTCATCACATCATAGCGTCATCCTCCTGTGAAGGAGCACAGCATAATGCTGTGAGATAGTGACGATGACTGTGTGCCCCTGAGTCTGCCGCTGAGTTTGCCAATGATCATGAATTGCATTCGTCTGTTCAGAGAACCCCAAACTATCGCTATGTCTATTAGAAGAAGTAGATGCATTAGCTATTAATGCACAAATATAAGGGAAAAGTGTTCTGGGCTATACCTCACGAGCTTTACCGGCGCCTTGCGACTGTCCTAGAAGTAGACTAATTTGACCAAGCCATTATTAGACTATTTCGAAAGCGAAGTTTATGATATGATACTTCCTGTCAGTGTAGCCCTAACGGAAAGGGGGTCAGTGCTGGGTTTGATTGCTAAGGGGAGCGTGTGTCGTTTGTAGAGGTTTCTGCCCTTAGGGGCTGTCTTGTTCTCAAGTATTCTCACGGGCTAATATCCAGGGGCTGAATATGACGGTTGATATTTCTCTGTATTATCTTGTCACTTTTACAACTGTAATGCAACAGCCTGTTTTGCGTTGAATTCGCGGGAGATACGATTTCTGAACCAGACAGGCAGCTGCAAAAGGCGCATTGTGTCGGTGCTCGGATGCCGGTTTACGGGTGCAGAAGGAATGACTTGGTTTGTAGAGCCACTGAGAGAATCTGTTGATAGTAATTTGAGCCGAGTCGTACATCATTAATTTTTGCAGTCTGCCATTTTTACTCCATTTTTTTTTGGATAAGACACTGTTAAGACACTCGAGCCACTTTCCTACAAAATCACAGCTTCGTTGCGAGGTTGACATGAATAGCCTTCGTCTGCGTGTATGCATCGAGTGCATATTTTCCAAGCTCCCTCCCTATGCCCGAAGCCTTGTAGCCGCCAAACGGGATACCAAAGTGCGAGTCCCCTGAAGAATTGACCCAAACCATTCCGGCCTGCAGTTTTCTCGCGACTTTGTGGCCTCTAGAGATATTCTCTGTGAATACAGCTGCCGCCAGGCCGTACGATGTGTCGTTTGCCTTGGCCACCGCTTCTGGCTCGGTTGCAAATTTGCCAATCACGACCACAGGGCCAAATATCTCCTCTCGAACAACCGTGGCATTTTCGCTCGCCTAGCACAGTCAGATGTCAATGCAGAATAAAGTGGTATACTCCCTGCACTTACTTCAGAGAATATGGTTGGCTCAATGTAGTAACCTTCTCCTTCAACCTTGAGGCCGCCAGAAAGGATCCTGGCACCCTCTTTGCGACCCGCCTCAATGTAGGAGAGAACACGATCAAATTGGTTCTTGGAGACCTGCGGGCCGTGGTTGACATCTTCCTTGAAAGGGTTTCCCATGACGGTACTCTTCTTCGTAAACTCAGTGAAAGCTTTGACAAAGTCATCGTAAACCTTCTCATGTACGTAAATTCGGGACGTAGAAGTACAGACTTGACCAGAGTTATCCATGATGCCGACATGGGCCCATTTAATAGCCTGATCCAAGTCAGCGTCTTCAAAGACAATGAGAGGACTCTTGCCACCGCATTCAAGAGTAATATTCTTGAGATTTGTTGCTGCATATCGCATGATTGCACGGCCTGTATTTGTGCTTCCAGTAAATGCAATCTTGTCAACGTCAGTATGCTCGGCCAACGTCTTTCCGGCGACGGGTCCAAGACCAGGAACGACATTAACAACACCGGGCGGCAATCCAGCTTCTTGGACCAACTTGCCAAAATACATGGCGGATAGCGGAGTTTGCTCTGCTGGCTTCACAATCACCACATTGCCACACGCCAGAGCAGGCGCAACCTTCCAAGCAAGCATCATAAAGGGGAAATTCCAAGGGATGATCTGACCACAAACTCCCAGGGGCTCCTGGACAGTATATGCAAGCTTCGCGGGCGAGGTGTCAATTGTATCACCATATATTTTGTCTGCCCACCCGGCATAATATTTAAAAACATTGTAAGCCTCTTCCAGGTCTGCTTCAAGCGCGACAGAGTATGGTTTGCCACTGTCGTAAGCGTCGATGGCAGCTATCAGTTTGCGATCGCGGTCGATGAGGGAGGCCAGCTTCATGAGAAAATCGCCTCGCTCAACGGGGGCCAGCTCTGACCACGGCCCTTCAAATGCTTTGCGAGCGGCTTTTACAGCTGCGTTGACATCAGCCACGGACGCACCGGTCACGCTGAGTACTTGCTGTCCAGTGGCAGGATCGACAACGTCGAACTTGTCTCCAGACGCATGTTGAAAAGAATTATTGACGAACAAGCCAACAGGCTGCTCGTACTTGACTCCGTTTGGGAGAGCGATGTTGATAGTCGACATGGCCGTGTCAGCTTGGAGGCTGTGGTTTGGGGATGTGCAGAATATCGAAGGAACTGTCACTGGGAGGAGGGAAGTTGGTAAGTTGATCCTGCGGGACGTCGTCCACTTCCACCAGATTCTTCCGAGGGCGAATACGCCGCGGTCGAGACATGCAACACGGTTTTGCACCAATCGTGGTTACGACATGTGGACGTGGTCAAGTTGTACTCGCAGTGAAGTCTGCTCGAGGACCACCGACTTGACTTCTGCTGAAGGGCCGGCAAAGTGTGGGTGCCAGCGGGGCGCTCACCGTATCTGGCCAAAAACTAGGCAGGAAGGCGGGGTATAATGTGTCAGAATGGGTCACTTGTTACGGGTACAAATTACGTACGCACAATTAGATAAGGGTAAACCCTTAACCACGAGTAGATAACCCTAATAATAAGCGTACTTATAAAAAGAGCGTATATAATTCTCTCTTTTATAATTAAATATAGACTTATATATATATATTATTATTATAATTAATACCCTTTAAAGTATAATAATTATAAGCTTAAAAGAACTTTAAATCTCTTATAACTTTCACTTAAGAAAACTAAGTATTTAAGGTATTATTTTAATACTTATTTTATTATATTTACGCATTTAATAGATACTAATATTACTCTTATAAATACCTAATTATTTATTAAGCTTAAGCTAAAGCTTTTAAGCTAATAGTATAATTAATATAAAGTATTAAAGGGTTAAGCTTAAGCTAATAAGCTTTAAAATATTATAAACCTTAATTAATTAAATTACTTAATTAATACGTTACTTACTCCCCTTTAATTTACTTTAATAAAGGCTTACGTAAGCCTATTATTAGATTAATAACTCTTACTTAAGGTAAAGAATAACTTTATTATATTATATACCCTTTAAGCTATATAATTATAATATAATAATAAGCTTAAAGCTTATATAA